ACTTTAGCTCTTGGACAAGGAAGTGATATTTCTTGTAATTCAGAGGAATAATAATGAGTGCTGAGTTTTAAGTTGCAAATTAACAAAGGATTATAAAAAGCCTATCTAACTGTGAAGGCAGCACATGCTTACATACATACATATTTTCAGTTCAGAATCTCCACAGAGGTGGGCACGTAGCTCAGTGATAGAGCACTTGCCTAGTATGTGCAAATCCCCCTGGTTCTATCGCCAGTACAGTGGGAGGTTGGGTGATCTTTCCAGGGCACTACTTGATACCTATCACCACAACACCTCAGTGCTCACCAGGTAGCTTAACTGGGAGTCAGCCCCACTGGCTAAGGGGCACTTTAATGCCTCGTTAGGAAAACAGATATTCTCCAGGGTTTCTTTTGGGAAGCTGACTTCAGAGACATTGATGATATCTAGGTATTTTTTCCTTGACTGCTCTAAGCAATTCTAGGTGATATGCAGGTTTTGCAGTAATTCACATGAAAAAACAAACAGAAGTTGACATTTTTAGGACTTTATAGCCAAGCAGATAATATCTGGAAAATTTACTGAAGCCATATAAAATATGCATGCCTTAGAATATTTGACAGGCTACAGTACTACTATTGTTTAATTACAAAACTTATTTTTTTATTATTATTCTAGGCATTGAACCCAAGGATGCTTTATCACTGAGCCACATCCCCAGCCCTTTTAATTTTTTTGAGACAGGGTCACACTAAGTTGCTTAGGGCCTAAGTTGCTGAGGCTGGCCTCAAACTTGTGTTCCTCCTGCCTCAGTCTTCTAAGTTGGAGAATATTTATATTTAAAAATTCCCCATACAATGGTTATTTCCCCAAGATTTTAGGAAGCACTTAAGGATGTCTTTATCTTCCTTTCTCATAGTTGACCTTTACATCAAACTCCTATTTTCCAATATTCATTAGCAATCTTCTGTTTCACGTATTATATACAATGGCTTTTCTTTGAGGAGAAATAAAATAAAAATCTGCTTATACATATGAATCACTTCAGATGGCGCATATGCCTTGTTGAAGAAGCTCGGCTTTCACGTTTGACTTTGAAGCATCCTAATCTCTGAAAAACTGGGCTGAAAAAAAAAAATCATCCCTGAGGACGGTTCCTTAGCAGATGTGTGAAGCAAGTTTTGTATTGCTTACTTACTTCTAGTCTAATGGTACCGTGAGGGACTGCTCCTACTCTCCAACTAGAGAACTGGCTGGGGTCTTTCAGTGGCCCTGGGGTCTTTGACTGAATACTGTGGTTGCCATAAGTTGAGATCATAAGGAAGTAAACTCAGCAATTCCAATTACAGGCAGACAGGATTCTGATTCTGATGAATCAGTCAATCACCAAGAAGTATAAGGGCCACCTTACCTCGAGCAGCAGCTGCAGTTTGGGTACTCTTGATAACAAATATGCTCAAGGGAGCCATGCAAATTGGCATGGAAATGGCTTCAAAGTATGCCTTTTGCATTTTCTGAAAAATTTGAAACTTGCTTAAGCTTTCTAATTATTGGAAATATTTCACAAACATAAAATGGAAAACCAAACAATCCAACCTTGGTTGCAAACTCATCACTCTTCAGGCCATTTTTTTGGAAATTTTAAAGGAGCAAATCAGTCATTATCTAATGAGGTGATGACATTAAGGTTCTGAACTTTAAAAGGCTTTAATTTTTTTCAAAAGTTACCCTCTGTCCCTCCTTTGCATCATATTTCTAAGAAAGTAATTGGTGGTGGTGGGGGCTGGAGTTGAGGCTCAGAGGTAGCACTCACCTGGCATATGCGAGGTGCTGGGTTCAATCCTCAGCACCATATTAAAAGCATGAATGAATAAAGTAGGGGAAGGGAATTGTGTCCAACTGCAAGAAGAAGGAGAAGGAGAAGAAGAAGAAGAAAGTAATTTGGGCAAATTATATTCCCAGAATAAACAGTGAAACAATTGATTCTATATTCACTTCGGCAAAATAAATCATGACATTTATAGCTATGACATAAAAAGAAGAAAAATAAACTTTAAAAATTGAGCAGGAAAACTTCCATACCTTAATAAGCCTAAAACCTGGTTACACAGGATCAAGTGGAAGATTTAAGGCAATGATCAGAAAGAAAGGCCCTTGTGTGCAACTTGCACTCTAAAACTATTTTTCCAAAATAGAAAGTTATTGAAAATGAAATATGTAGTCATTATAAAAACAAAATAAAATTTAGGCAACATCAAACATTTGTAAAAAATAAAAATCCTATCACCCAGAGATTTTTGCTCTTAATGCATACACTTTTTAAAATAAAAATGGCATATTACCTTTTACCATTTAACAATATTGTGGTAGCAATGACTGTGGACCTTTGTGATTATTAACAACAGCTACATAGTGTTTCACTCTATAGAAGTTATCAATTCACTTTGCCAACTCTCCCAATTTTGTCACACTATAAACAATGTTGTAATGAACATCTTTGTATACATGTATTCACTTCTCACATTATTTTCTTGGGACAAATTTCTTGAAGTGATTGCTATTTTATATGACAGATTTTTTTTAAATAAAAAGGCTTTGGATTCAAATTGCTAAGAAGATACATTATGCCAATTTACTATCCTAAGATAAAAAAGTAGAACACCTAGTTTCAAGTCTTCATTCCACTCACTGCTGAGTTCACACTGTTGGAAAAGGTGAAAAGGTTGATTGGGAAGGGTGCAAAGGCTAGACTGCAATACGCCAGCAACATGCTTGTATCAGTCAGGAATACTGTGTCTTACTGTGGGCCAGCTCCCCTTCAGCTGTTTCTAGCCCCTCCTCCCTTACTCACTTTCACCATAAAGGCTACTTTTCTCTGCCCCTTAGATCAGTCTGGTCAATAAGATGATGTAAGCAGAGAGTCTGGGAACTTGAGGAAAAGTTTTCTCTCTCTAGATAAAAAGGACAGACATACTGGAACTGCTCCTTTCCACAGCTGTGGACATAGTCTGGAGCTGTCACTGCCATACTCCAACTATGAGGGAAAGACCATGAGAATAATCTGTGCTGACTAATGACGGCAACAGAAAACCTACAGATTTTATGATATGAAAACCATCTGTTTCTGTTTAAACCATTCTTCTTTTTATCTTTTGTTATTTGAAGTTAAAAATATTTTGACAGAAAACTCTGCATGCCAAAGATTAACAATGATTTCCAAGTTATCACAAATGATCACTCAGAAGTAATCAGAAAGCAAATATGGAAAATATGTATATATATTTAAAAATAGGGACATGAAACTTTAGTACAAAAAGCCAAATATGCCTTTAAATGCACATTTGAGCAAGGAATAGGGAAAGGAACACAATGGAGGAGGGGCAGGGAGTGTGGCAGAGGATTACTTTATTTATCAAAACCCTATTTTCTTTTTCCTCTTGGGTACAGAGCCAAACCACACTTTCCATCTTTCCCTGTGTTGGTTGGAACCCCAAGATCAAGTTCTGGCTCATGGACTGTGAGCAGAACTAATGATTCCAAGCCTTGGCCTGGCCCACAAAAAAACTTCCATGTAATCTTTGCTCTTTCCTTCTCTGGCCAAATAGAGTTCTTGAGCAGAATCCAAAATGGAAGGAGCCTGGGTTCCCACATTACTATATAGAGCAGAGCTCATCCTTGAACCTACTCAGACTGTGATGTAGCAATATTGTATTGTGTTCAGCCCTTGAGACTTTTACAGCAGTTAGAATCCTATCATCCCATAAATGCGAGAGTGGAGATAAGGAGAAAAGAAAAAATAACAAAGAAAAACATGATGGATATTATGGTTTGGACCTGAAACATTCCCCAAGGTTTATGCCTTGAAAGATTGGTGCCCAAAGTAGTATTGTTCAGAGGTGAGACTTTTGGAAATGATTAGATCATGAGGGCTCTGACTTCCATAGAATGGGTTCATAGTTGATGCTACTGGGGGTTGTGGAAGCTTTAGGAGTGGGGCCTAGTTAGAGAAAGTAGGCCACTGGAAGTGAGCCCTAGAAGGGTAATATTCCTCCCTCTACTGTTCGCTCTTCTTGGCTACCACAAGGTGAGCAGCTTTCCTCTACCACATGCTTCCACCATGAGATTCTGCTACACTGCAGGCCCAAAGCAATGAAGCCTGCTGATGATAGACTGAAACTGTGCACCAAAATAAATTTTCCTTTGTTTTTCTTAGGTATTCTGTCATAGCAATAGAAAGCTAACTGACACAACAGAGTCATGGTATGAATGTTGAGAGTACTATTTGATCTTTCCATGGGTTTCCCAACTTGACCTAAATACCTAAAGTGCTCCTTTTTGGTGACAAGAGATTTGACAAAATTTTCAATATTTAGGATGAATTCTTTTTTATCATTTTCTTCTCCCATTTTTTTTTCCTAAATCTACTTTTTCTTTTCTTAAGGCCTCATGTTCTTGACTACCTCTTTAGAACATTATAATTTTTAAATTGTGTAGACTGTGTTCCTGAGCAGATACTGGTTTGGAGGAAAGTCATTGCTAAACAACATTAATTTAAACATATTTAGAAACACATTAAAAACAGTCCCTTGCTGAGCACAGTGGCTCACGCTTGTAATCCCAATGGCTGGGGGTAGTGGGAGGCTGAGGCAGGAGGACTGTAAGTTCAAAGCCAGCCTCAGTAACTTAATGAAGTCATAAGTAACTCAGTGAGACCCTGTCTCTAAATAAAATTTAAAAAGGGCCAGGGATGTGGCTCAGTGGTTAAGCGCTCCTGGATTAATTCCCCAGTACCAAAAAAATACAGTCCCTTGTTAGACAATTTCAACATTTTGGAGATATACTCCAAATGTAGTTTTCTATATGACCAATAAAAACTAAGTAATACTTCAATCTGTATACCTGCACAAATGGCTGCATAAAGTTCAAAACCAATTATTCATTTCTTGCTGGCTTGCATTGTCCTAACATCTATGACAAGCTATTACTACAAACAGGCATACAAAAACACAAAAACCGATTGATAAATTATATATTACATGTTTATTAAGGGTACAACTTTTATGTAAAATTTACATTTTATGAAAAAAATCAAAAATATTTACAAAATTTTGGAAGATAAATGTGCATTGTTCTAATTACAATCCAAAGTAGTAAATAACAATCCTTAAAAACTCACATTTGTTAGCATTCTGTGTTTACAAAATCTTGGTTAAAGAGGCAGCTACAAAGTTTATCACTATACATAAGCAAGAACCAGCTTGCTAGACATATTTCCCATCAAAAATCTGTGGGTTTTTTTACACTATTAGTGAATTTTTAAAAGAAAAAAAACATTAGTATAAACTCATATGGCTTCAAAATTGTAACCTGTACCCAATACAAATTTATGTATCAACACTTGGTATGAAAACTGTGGCAATTAAGAAAGTGCAGAAGTTTAACCATTTCACTAATTGTACATTTTAAAGGTAATACTTGATTAAAAACAAACATGGTGAGTATAATAGTGTCTGAATTCCAATAATGAAATATTAACTGCCTAATAAAAGTAGTTTGATTGCAAAGCAGACTTACAGTTAAAATTCCAGTAAAGGACTGTAATTGGCATTTAAAAGAGCACAATATAAGAGTTAGAAATCCTAATTTTGCTATTTAGTAAAGACTAAAATTTTAGCAAATTGTCTTATGTGTTGCTTTAGTCAAATCTAAATTTAGAATTGGGCTAACACTGGATATATAAAAATGCACATACTGTGTTACATACTGCTAAGGAGTAGAGTTTCTGCATATTTAGAATGTAGCAAGATGTTACATAAATGTCTAGTGATAGGGGTTTTATTTTCTGTAAAGCTTAATATTACAATTAGTGGTTTTATATAAATTATCATATATAACACAAGTTATCAATTCTTTGCAAAATGAATGACACTGTTTTTTGTCATTATAAATAAATTCCCATCTGTAAATTATGAAACTTTGTTTAAAATATTTCATGAATACAAAGTTAGGCTTTTTACTATTTAGTATGAATAGTTCATTTTAAGAGCTTAATCCAATCTATCGCTTCAAATAATTTACCTATATTTACCATGTAGGAATTAAATAATAAAAACACAAAAACTGGTAATTTTTCCAATTGTTCAAATGAAAACAAGTGATAGTACTTCTCCCTCTGGGGCCAAAAATAATCTTTAAAAAATGTGTTCTTCATACAATACTACAAATCTCATGTTCACAATATAATCAGTTTAAAAATGTGTAAATTTTCAGTGATAATAAACACGGTTGAGGGAAATGCTTAATTGAGAGTTAAAATACCAGTTTCCAATTTACCATCATAGTTTTTCAGAATTTATCTGTTTCACATACTTTTGATGAGGTTAATGTCAGATATCTGAAGGTAATTTTTTCCTCCTGTAAACATACTTTCTTAGGCTTATTTCTCTGTCTAGTGGCTACAGTGTATCACTAAGGTGAGCCAGGGTTCTGAAGTATAAATTATCCTTTAGTTGTTCTGAATTCTCTTCCCAAAGGAATGCCAAAGGTATTAACAAAAATTGCAAATATCCTATAAAAATTCATAACCACTGTAAGATTCTGAGTAAGAGATCTATTGTAAGGGGAAAAAAGTGAGGCACATTAATGAACACAAACTTAGGCACGTTTCTGGTTTTTGTTATTGTTTTAAAAGGCACACATTATGCAATCCATATAAAAATAAATTAAATCTACACCATTAATTCATCAAAACAATCACAAGTTCTATAAAGTTAATTGCAGAAGTAAATTTCTCTGCTGTCTTTTGCAAGCTTATTTTTAAAACACATTGCACTTGAGAAAATTTCAAAAATCATATAAAACACCATTTACACCTTATTAATATGTTTATGAGAATCAAATTATAGATTTTTTGCATACAGCTGGAACTCTGGTTTGATTACCTTATGGCACATAACTCAATTTAATTGAGTGATCTGAGTTATTAACATTATCTAAAACTTAGAATTCATGTTCTGTTCATATTCATTCAATATCAAACTTATGAAATTTCAAAGCTATCTTAGACTAAAAATTTACGGAAAGCTAAATTATTTTGTGCTTGCTCTCCTGAAATTTTAGGCCTGATATACACTATAACCCCCCCCTTTTAAACATAGACACTGAAGATAATTTAAAATTTTAGCCTATGAAAACTTCATTTTTACTGAGAATCGGAATAAATGTGTTTCCTGAATATTGCATATGATCGTTTACAGCGTACAAAATCATTTCAGTGCTATTTCTTTCAATGACTCACTTTGAAAGTGCGATTTAATGTTTGTAGTTAGCTCTCAAATATGTCTAAGTTTGAAAGAAATCATATAAGTTACAATAGTGTTTGGAAAGAACAGGTATAATGCAGAATGGCAGGTCTGTATTACTCCCTTAAGCCAACCACTTTCTCAGGTCCATCAACAATCTGCCAGGTATCGTCCTGGAAAACAACAAGAAATTATAGTTTCAAATATATTCAAAGGACATTTTTCATTGTGCTCACGGACACAGAACCCTATTTTCCATTTGCTATTTAGAATACATTAGAATCACATTTCCAAGGTTCAAGGAAACAATTTCCATGCCTTTAGATTATCAACTACTTAACAGCTGTTTAGTAGCTGTTAGAATACAAATGTTTCAGCTGGTTGAGGCAGCCCACACCTGTAATTTCAGTGGCTCAGAAGGTTAAGACAGGAGGATGGCAAGTTCAAAGCCAGTCTGAGCAAAAGTGAGACATTAAGCAACTCAGACTGTCTCTAAATAAAATACAAAATGGGACTGGGGATTTGGCTCAGTGGTTGAGTACCTCTGAGTTCAATCCCTGGTCCCCCCACCCAACCAAAAAAAAGAATATAAATGTTTCCCATGTACATTAAAAATTTCAACTTACCAGTGGCAAACCGCTTCTTTACTAAGGAAAGCCTATAGCCAGTGCCAACAAGTTCAATATCTACTCCTGAGAGTGTACTGCCCTCACTGAGGAATTGCACTGCAAGTGTTGTGGGTTTACTGGGTCCTTCTGAAAGATCAAATTTTGCCCTGAGGGACCCAGAACCTACAAAACAAACAAATAAATAAGAAAGAACAAACTTAAATGAGGTAAAATACATTGCACAACAAATTAAATCACACATAAACTAAACTATTATCAGTCCCATCAGTCCCGCTCTAAATTCATGAAATGTGTACAAGAAAAACAAACCATTATCTTGTTTCCAAATTAGATTATATTCAGTGAATCTGATTTTTTATAATCAATCCACCTTCTTTTTTAAATTTTTTTTAGTTGTAGGTGGATACAATATCTTTATTTTTATTTATTTATTTTTATGTGGTGCTGTAGGATTAAACCCAGGACTTCATAAGTGCAAGGCAAGTGCTCTACCACTGAGCTACAATCCCAGCCCTCCATCTTCTTAACAGTAATCTTCAGAGATGGTTATTATTGAGACTCCTAGGCTGGATCACACTGAAGTTAAGTCAAAAGGAAAGAAATAAGCAATTAAGAGCAGCAGAAAGGGAAATGCTAGTAGGGATATATATAGGCAGGATAAAGTAAAAAACAAAATTACTGTTGAGTAATGGGAACCAGAGAGGTAAAAAAGGAAAAGTAGCTATTGTTGGAAAGAATTGTTATCAACATTACTATTTTCTATTCACTCTTCTTTAAAGAAAAATTTTTACTTGTCTAACATCATGCCTGAGATTTTCAGAAATTCCTTTTGATATAACAATTTTTTTTCAACACACTCTCTAATCCTTGACAACACTAAACCAATAGTAATAACACATATGATAATTGCTGTAAAAGAGCTCCCAGAAGCTATAGGCACAAAAGCACATAGCTCTACATGAAGCTATTAACTTCTGGTAGTGGTGATGGTTACACAGGTACAGAGACAGGAGACCTGCAAGAGCCCAATGCATTTAAGAGAACTGCATCTAAAAAGTATAAAAAGAGTACTACATCTATAGTAGAATAGCTGGAAAATATGATACAAGTGTAGAGCAGTAGATTAGACTAGTTGTGAGGACTTTGGGAAATCACCCATGATAAGGAAGACAGGAATATCTCCGATTAGTGCCCTAGAAAGGAAGGGAAAAACAAGATTCAAAATAGGAAGACCAGCTGTAAGTCAACAAAATAGTTTAGGACCACAAGTGTCAAGAAACAGGGATTTGAACTAGGCCAAGGGAAAGGAAAGAACAATGCATCTGAAGGATATTTAGGAGTTGAAGTCAAGAGGTGAAAAAGGAGTAGGAATTCAGAAGAGTTCCCATGTTTCTGGTTAGGTAAAATAGACAAGACTTGCTAGGTATGATTCCCTGTACAGAAGTGTAACAGTAGAAAAAAATGTGGAACAAGATGTCACAACACTGGTCTATTCTATTGTGCCTGGTGGCACAGATCAGAGTGGAGATGAACTGCTGCAGAACTCTTAACAGTTGTCCAAGTCTTCCTTAAACTTTTATAACTTTTTTTTTAATTTGAGAGGTTTATTTAGGAAAGTAGATACATATTCAAGGGAAAATGGGAGTGATCTCAAAAGAGAGGGTAAAGCAAGAAATATACATGCACTCAAGGGAGAATGTGGGCTACCTACAGAGGGGAAGACAGCCAAACTTTTGCAATTCTTAAAAATTACAGTAGGAGCAAAGACCAGTCAATTTAAGAAACTTCTTAAACTTCAGAATTATTTCCTGTCCCTCTTCTGGGTACAGAGCCAGAAGAGAAAACATTTTTATTTTACAGTACAATCAGATTTATAAATTTTTCACAGAGACTTTTATACCTAAAAAACAGAAGGAAACTATTAAAATATGTGGTTAAAAATGCTTATTTTTGAGGGCTGGGGATGTGGCTCAAGTGGTAATGTGCTTACCTGGCATGCACGGGGCACTGGGTTCAATCCTCAGCACCCATAAAAATAAAATAAAGATGTTGTGTCCACCAAAAAACTAAATATTAAAAAGTTCTCTCTCTCCTTAAAAAAATGCTTATTTTTGAGTACAAATTCCTCTCTTGATAAGTATTTATGAGTTATTGTACAGTTGCGTTAAGTGGGGAGGAAAGACATCCTCCCTTCTTGCTAGATGATTGCAAGTCCTCAATGCAGGTAGGATGTCTAACTTACTTCCAGTTTAAACTAGGAATTTCAGTGTGGTTCCCTAAAGTCATATAACTAGGTTAAAAGTCAGTGTACCTGGATACCTGAAAACAGCCACCTTTAAGTACCAAATAGAAAAAAGGAACTGCAGATTAGCTTGGTATTTCATTCAAAGTGTACCTCTTTAGTAAGGGTCTGATTCTGCCTAACAGGTATAAAGGAAAAGACAATAAAGACATGCTCATGGTACTTTACACAAAAATATGTAGGAGAAAAATTACTGACATTATGCTCAAAATGTTCAAAAAGAAAAAGTTGAGCAAAATCCGAAAAAAAAGAGTAGAGGACAAAACTACCTTCTCAATAGGAAAAGTTATTGGAGGCTAATTAAACATTCCAAAAAAGGAAGAAGACTTCTCTTTTTATTAGAGAAAATTAAACTATCTAATATTAAACACCAGATTGTCCTGGGAATCACATGCTAATTTTAAGTTTAGTTAGGGGAGATCTTAGGAGTGACCAGCAAGAATAGACTTTTCCTTCCTACTGGAAACATGGGTACGGACTTGAAGGAGGCAAATAACAACTTTTAAAAATAATCTTCACAGAATTAAAGACTGCTGATGGTTAGTTCTAATAAGGAAAAACAACCAGGAAAGATTTTCTTATTAAGTTGGGGTGGGCAAGAGGTTTTAAAAAGTAAGAAGATTCTAAATGATTTCTAGGGGGCCAGAATGAACCAAATAATGTGTTCAATTAGTTTTAATTAGTTATTAGGTTACCTACCTGGGATAGACAGTTCTATTTTTTAAATTCATTTTATTAGGTGTTTTTTTCTTAATGTTATCATGTAAATATGAGAAGCATTTACATAATATTTATAAAGTTGTAACAAAACATGTTCATTTTCTTGCAGGGAAAGCTCCTTTAATCTAGAAAGGAAAAATCTGAATCATAGCTGGTCCAGTATATTTAAGGTGTTAACTTCCACCTAGTGGTCAGTTCTAGAACTGAAGGCATGCAATTCCAGGAGGCAACTTTCCATAAAAAATGCCTAAAAACCCCCAAATGGGGAAATAGCTCACTGGTGCAGCACCTGTCTAGCATGTAGCATGTTTGAGATCCTGGGTTTGATCCCTAGCACCACACATACACAAAAAGAAAACAAGAACAACAAAATCTATTTTCAGTTACACCACAAAAAAGCATGCATATACTTACCTCCATTTTCTGATTTTTCTGAAATACCAGACAATTTCCAAAAGGCTTTCATTTGTTCCGCATTCCTGTAACATGAATAAATATCATCAGGTTAAGTGTCTAATACATTAACTTATGCATACATGGGCACTTAATAAATAAAAGCACCTAAAGTATTTTTACTATTAATAACTACACTGCTAAGAAATATGTTTATGATGTAGCATAAATAAATGTTCTTTCTTAGTTAATGGAAATTTATCAGATTATAGAAGTTCTCTAGTTTCTACTGATAAAAGAAAACTGAATAGGTATATGTGGCTTGGTACCTTAAATAGGTACTCGGGAAAACACTGTTATTAAATGATGAAACAAATATAAAGAGTTGTTAGAGTCTATACTAATATTAACAGAGGAGAGGAAGGAGGTAGTTAGAGGACGGTAATATTACTGAACACTAACAGGTGTTCTTAGAGATATACCAAATGATATTTTTAACCCTGTAGAATAATTATCACTTTTTAAAAGAAGTTTAGCAATTAAAGGTAATCATTCAGTCGGATGGCATTTACAGCAAAACTGATTATTTTGGATTAAGGCTACTATATCTTGACTAGTAAAATTAACAGCATTTTTCATAGCATGATTTCTATGGAAAAACTGTACTAAATCTTTTGAAATCTGTAAGATAATTTTGAAAACTTGGGTTCTAAAAGTTGTGGGCTGCAATAGAAATTTAGCAGGAGTTCAGAAATATATTTAAATTACCACACTGCAGGGGGAAGGGACTGCATATTTGTGACTCCTCCATCCACTGGTACCACCACCTGTATGTTGGAAAGCACACTAGGTGCCACCATAGCTTCTGGATTATACTTATAATCCACTCTAAGATCTGTGGTACTGGCACTACATTTCCAGTATGTTGCAAGATTCAAAGGAGTGGACTGAATGCCATTTGACGATACCTTTAAAGAGAAAAAAATTGTCTTTGGCCTGAAGAGTAAATTAAGTCATTCAATACACAGATACTTGAACATAAGAATTTACAGAATCAAAACTATCTAATAAGAGTACTGATGCTAGTAACAGTAAAGGGTCACTCTCAGCATGTACACCTGGGATGACCAACGTCAAAACATCTGCAGTGCCTGTATATGGTGCATGTTCCCCTGGCTCTAACTGCTGAAAAATCTGATTTGACAGCTTAGAGACAATGCCCAGAAATCAGCATATTATCAGATAATTCTTATTTATTTGTGTAAAGTTTGAGAACTTTTCAATATTCAACATAGAATTATTTATGAATAATGAGAATTTAAATATAAAACAATAGAAAAAGGGGAGATTCACCAAACAGTTCCACAAGCCTGCAATCAATACTTCCAACTTAATATGGTTGACTTTAATCAATGACACACTTTCTTCCAATTCTTCAACTCTTTGCTCAAAGGGCTCCTTTTGAAGCCATTTAAAAAGCTATCCTGGATAAAGTTCAGTGGTAGAATGTTTGTCTAGCATATATAAGGCCCTGGGGTTCAATCCTCAGTAACACACACACACAGAAAAACTACACTGACCACCCTTTACAAATTTTCGTTCAAACTACACTTGTCAGGTGTGGTGGCGCACACCTGTAATCCCAGTGGCTAGGGAGGCTGAGTTAGGAGGATCTAGAGTTCAAAGCCAGCCTCAGCAACTTGGCAAGACCCTAAATACAATGACAAAATAGGGCTGAGAATGTGGCTCAGTGGTCGAGTGTCCCTGAATTCAGTCCCAGGTACTGCCTCCCCGGCCCCCACAAAAATTACCCTTTCAATCTTCCTTAACTTTTTTTCCCCTTTTCTCCATGTCATTATCTCTAAAAACAATATTATTTAATTATGTATACTGTCCTCCTGTCCTGCTCCTAGCAATTAGCACGCACTAAATAATAAAAAAATAATAACCCCCACCCCATCTCTCTGAGGATTGAACTCCAGGGCACTAAAACACACCAGCCTTTTTTATTTTTTGAGGTCTTACTAAATTGTTTAGGGCTTCACTAAATTACTGAGGCTGGCCTCAAACTTGCTTGCAATGCTCTGCCTCAGCCTCCCAAATTGCTGGGATTATAACAACATGCTACCACAGCCAGCTCATTCTATTTTTTTTTTTTTAATGTGGTGCTGAGGATTGAACCTACTCCCTCACCTGTGTTAGGCAAGCACTTTACCACTGAGCCATAACCCCAGCCCCATAACTCATTCTTTTTAATGGCTGTAAGAACTCATTTAATCAATTCTTTCCTTTGCTGATATATACTTAGATTGTTTCCAAACAATGCTACAATGAATGTTCTTTGTATCTTATCTTTGCCCGTTTACTATGATTTCTGAGAATAAATTTCTGGAAGTGGAATTGTTGAATTAAAGATTATATCTACCCAACAATCTGCTACAACTGCCTTCTCTGAGGTTCTATTTGTGTTCCCATTAACAAGTGGCCACACCCCTACATACTAGGTAGAGCATCTGTTGATGGGCATCTAGACTGCTTCCGTAACTTAGCTTCTGTGAAATGTACTGCAATAAACATAGGTATATGTATCTTTATGAAACATAGGCATCATGTATGTTTAAAATATGCTGACTTAATTCTTTAGGATAAACACCAAGGAGCGGGATAGCTGGGTCATATGGTAGATCTATTTTTAGCTTTCTTCCATTGTGGCTGTATTAATTTACATCCCTACTAACTGTGTATAAGGATTCCTCCCTGTACCACATCCCCTCATCTTCACCAGCAAGAAACTAAAATATTACTTCACTTTAGTGTTTGGAACATTTCTTGACCTAGTCTTCCAGGTCTTTTATTCTTCCAGAGAATTTGAAAATAATTATCAAGTCTCCAAACATAAACAAAGACATAATCTCTATGGGGTCTCTGATCAGAGTCACATTAAATTTAAACTTAATTTAAAAACAACTAAACTTTTTATATCGTGAATATTCCCTTAAATGAATAAATACTTTTCTACATATATGCAAGGCCAACAGACTGTTATGTTTCTTCCTATTTTTTATTGTATTTTTCTCTATTAGTTTTTCTGATTGAAAAAGTTATTAATTTTGATATTAATTTTTAAACTGGTCACTTTATTAAATTCCCCTAGATCACAATAGTTTCCTAATTGCTTCTCCTGAATTTTCTAGGAATGTATCACCTGAGAATAATAATTTTGGTTCCTCTTTTCCAATATTTATTACTGCTTATTTTATCCTCTTATCCAACTGTACTGGCTTAACACATTTAGAAAAATCTTCAATAACAATCTTGTTAGTATTAATAGGAATAATGAGTGTCTTTGCCATACCTCTCTTCAATTAATTATTTTAGTTTTGTTATTAAGACTAATGCTACTGGTCTTTTCAGGTTAAGTACAAATTTATGTATTTATATTTATTCAGTACTTTAAACAAATTCTATCAAATTGACTGTATCATCCACTCATTTATTAACAGATTTTCTAGTTTTGAAACATGCTTGCATTCCTGAAATGAACCTCATTTGGCTAAGATATATTTATTCATTTACTGATGTGCTAGACTCCATTTGCTAATGTTTTAATTTAGGGTTTCTTCAATGATGTAATACTCACCTGATACTTTAATACATCCACGTTATAATACGAAGCAGCTGGATTTTGCTCTGATAACTTCTTGAGGTAGATGGTAACAGCTTGCATGTTCATCCAAAAATCTTTTGTGTTGGAATCACACTGTGATGGATCACTACATGCATAAGAAACATTTTTGTTATTTTATTTGACTTATATTTTTCCTTTGCCTCTATGTAATAATTTGATAAGTAATTCTCTAAGACTAGTAGAAATGAACCCAAAGATGGGATGAGAGAAAACTCAGATTAGAGGATGAAGAAAGAACACAGGAGAAGGTTGCCTGAAAAATAAGATGGAATGAAACAAAAAGTTTTAAAAATAACTGTCACTAATTCAAAAACAAAATAAAACCACAGAGACTGTTTAATAATAGTAAATAATTTTGGTATTGTCCTCAAATTAAATATTAATTTCTTATAAACATTTCTTTCAAAGAAACTTCAACCTTCAAAACAAACATACACAAACCTGAACACAAGTTGTGAATTTGGAAGAATCTGCTCAAGTCTGCTGATATTTTTCACCCTGAAGCACAGCACAGCAGGAGAGGGATTGCTAGTGAAGACTTTAATAATTCCACTTGGAAATGATATAGTCACATCACCAGTGATCTTCACAATACATCTGAAATTGGGAACGTTGGTAAGTGCTAAAATAAGATACTTTAATTTCTAATTAAAGCATGTTTGGTTTAAAAAAATACATGTATGTGTATATACATGTGACAATGTGTACATATATATCTTTTATCATAATTATGGATGAATTATTTCTTCAATTTAATTATAAAAATGATTCTAGGAGAAACAGAACACTCATCTAGCATCATCTTTTCCTAGAATTAAACTTCAAACACAAATGTAAGCACACTAATAATGTTTCTTTACCATCCCCTGAACTACCTTAAGGGCACTACCTCCCTGGGAATACTACCCCTAGTTGTAGCTATGTTCCCCTCTTAGACCCATAAAGCACTGGACCTGATGGTGTTATTGGTACATGTCCCTCCTGCTCCTCGTTGCTCCTCCTTGCCCTCTATTTCTTCTTTCTTTGAAACTTGTGCATCAGACTATAGCACTCACTACCCCTTTCCCTTTCAAGTTGTATTCCATACTCCCTCCCTTTCATGCCCTGAAAATCTGAGCTTCTGGCTCACTGTCAATCTTGTCTCATAAATTTAATGATTTCAGTATCCACCTAGATGGTGCTTTCAATATTTTTTGTCACCAAGTTCTTCAGTCCTTTACTTCCAATGATCCTTTTAGCCTACTTCAGCCATGCACAGCCCCTCCAAAATCTCAAATTCACACTCCCCACTACCTACTTCCTACTTAGTATTTTTCAAACTCATTCTTACTAATACCACATCTTCAAAAATTCCCCAACCTCATTCAAACCTCCATAACCCACTATTCCTAAACCTTTTTCACTAATCTCCACTCACCCTTTATGTCTTCATTTCCTCCTATTTATGGAATTCTAGGTCCATCATAAGATACTCTTCTTTGCACAAACCCTCCCTTGTTCTTCTTTCACTGTGACTGCTTGGTCAAATAAAGAGTTTGGACTAAATCTAGCTCCTTATCCACATCTGTACAGCTGATGGTGACAACAGAAAAACATATCACCATCTAACCAAAACTCTTTAACTAGTACCCCTGGATGTTACCTGATAATTCTAAAACATGCCCTCATCTAGTCATTCTTGTCGTACTTTCTTTTCCCCCCTAAATTGTAACATCCCCTTTCCCTCTACTCTCAGCTGATGACTTTGCTTTTAATTTTACTGAAGAAATAAATCAGAAAAGAACTTCCTCAAACATTCACTAGTAAACTCCTAATCTATCTGTATCTTATGCCTTCTCTCCTTTTTCAACAGATTTCTGCACCTAAGATTAATTACACTGACTGACTGGAACTTATCAACTTTTACATACCAAAGGATCTCACTCTCACTGCATTGTCTATTCTCTTTTCTCCACAAATACGGGGTTTTTCTCATTTGTATACAGACATGCTGGGATATCTATATTTAAAGTTTATATACAGATATATAAACTTTATGTAGAGTATATATATAAACTTTAAATAAATGTTTATATAAAGATTATTTATATAAACTTTAAATAAACTAACAAAAACTAAAATAAATAAAACCCTCCTCTGATTCAGCTACTTTGCTCCTGCCATCATTCCACTTCTCTGCTTCCCCTTAGAGCAAAACATCCAAATAATTATCTATATTTTTTTCTTTCCAAATAGAGTTTAAATCTGCATCATCTCCTGCTCCAACACTCTCCTGCAAACAGGCTTAATTCCACTGCACCACTAAAACTGCTCCTGCAAAAGCCACCAATGACCTTTACACTGCTAATAGCCAAATTATGACCTGCTGACAGCATCACATGTAGCTACACATCTTTCTTCAAGAAATGATTATTCATTTAGTATCTTCATCACTGTAATGGTTCTCTCCTCTTTTCTCTTGCTGCTTGCTGTCTAAATTCCTTTGCTAGATCATTCTTGTCTTAACTGTTTTCAATCCTGTAGGAGATCAGGACTTAGTTCTCCAATCACTTTTCTATCCATTCCTTTAAGGTGCCTGGCTAAGTAGTATAACAAGCACTTCAAAATTAGCATTCTACTACCTCAGCAAACCTTAAAAACTATTTTCAAAATATATTCAGAGTCTCATGTCTACTACCATCTTGTTTCTAACATCCTTGCTCAAGCCACCATCATTTCTCACCTGGACTTCTATAGTTAGCCTCCTAACTCATTCTCCCTCAATCTATTCTGGTTCCCTCCAGTTTATTCGCTATAGAGCAGCTAGAATACTCCTTCAAAATGTTAATAGCAATTTCATCATTCTTCCATTCAAAACCTTCTTGGCTTCTCATCTCATTCAAAATGAATTCCAAATTCTCTATGATGGGCCTACAAGCCCAACCTGATTTGGTACTTCGCTGGTTGCATCTTCAACTACTCTCCCCCTTGTTTACTTCTACTTAGTGACATGGTTCTCTTTGCTATTTCCTGAGTATACCAAGCACGCTTTTACCCAGTCCCTTCCACTTGCTGTTTCCCTCTTCCTAGAATGGTATTCCTCCAGATATCTGCATGGCTTACTTCTATCTTTCAAATATCTGCTTAAATTAATCTCAGAAAGGTTTCCCCTGGTCAATAGATCTAAAATAGTACCCTTTCACTGCTATTCTCCACCCTCTTATCCAGGTTTATTTTTCTTCACAGCATATATCAACACCTAAACATATAGTTTTTCCTTGATAAATGATGCAAGCTCAGCAGAGAACATTGTTTTGTTTACTAAAGTATCCTTAGCATTTATCACAGTCATACACAAATGCTTAATTATGACTTTCTTAAAAGTAAGATGCTAAGCCAATTCTGCAAAAGTCTCATATGAAACATGCATTCTAGGTCTCTCTAGGAAATGCCATTCTTTCATCAAAGATACACCATCAGCCATACTAGTCAAACAGTAAATAAAATATGGTGAAGCCATCATTTATTACTGATTATAATGATTTTTAAATTTGAAAGGTAATACTGAAATTAGAAAGCAAAATGTAAATAAATCAACAAAAGACCCGAACCTACAAAAACTCCAAGAAAAACACTTAAAATTCAGCATAAACCCCATCCTGACCCCAAACACACAAACACAGGAGTATTTAAAAAATTAACCTGGTGGGATCTGCTCCTTTAAAATACGCATTTACAGACTCTGTAAGGGCGATTGCCACAGGTAAAGTGTCCTGATTTCCAAGGCTGACAGGGCTAGGACCCCGTGACACACCTAGAATACATAGAAAAACATTTGTTAAATCTTTCAGGAAGACACATATTAAAAACCAAGACAGTCAGATTCACAATGTTAGGTTGTCACAAGTGACCCTATAACTGATTTCAATGATGCCCCAAAGAGAAACCGAGTGGTTAAAAATATAGGATAAACAAATTGTAATGTGATACAAAGAAAAGAAGAAAGGAAATAAAGTTCCACTGTATGTATATATCACATTTTGCTATCTATTTATCTGTCAGTGGACAGCTAGATTGTTTCCATCTTTTGGCCACTGTAATGAGTGCTGCTATGAACATGAGAATAAAAAACTCTCTTTAGGATTCTGCTTTCAATTCTTTTGGGCATTTATTCAGAAGTGAAATTGCTGTATCATAAGGTAATTCTACATTTAATTTTTGAGAAATAGCCGTAGTGTTTTCCACAGCAGCTGTACCATTTTATATTCTTAATAGTGCTCAAGAGGTCTCAATTTTTCTCTATATCCTTGCCAACAAGCTAGACAGCAAGCTCTCTACCACTGAGCTATATCTCCAGTCCCATAACCTTTTTTTTAATTAAGGAAAATTACATAGTTGACCTTCCATATGAAGATTCTACATTTGTCGATTCAACCATGGATTGAAAATATTTGGGAAAAAATTGCCTAATGAAAACTTATTTTTTTCCTTATAATTATTCCTAAATAATACAGTATTTACACTGTATAATGTATTCTAAGTCATCTAAACATGATTTAAAGTATACAGGAGTGTATGTGCAAACATTATTGCATTTTATACAAGGGACTTGAACATCCATGGATTTTGTTATCTTAGGAAGTCCTAAAAACTAATTCCCTATGGATACTAAGGGCTCCCTATTTTAAATATGGAATTGATATTTCTCCTTGAGTAACTCACACAAATGGATATTTACACATAGTCAAGGGTAACATTAATGTCTGCTACTACTTTGACTATGAAAATCTAAAGAAACCTACAAAGGTTGGGGATGTAGCATAGTGGTAGAGTGCATGTCTAGCATACAAGAGGACCTAGGAAAAAAAAGAGGGATAGAAAAAGGGAGGAAGAAGGAGAGACAGGAAGACGAGGGACAGAGGGAAAGAGAAATCTTCAAAGTTAGTTATTGTTTCAATCCTCTAATTTGGGCAAATAATATGAAAATTCTTAAAATGGCTTCCCTGTAAACTGTCATGCTTGTTACTGAAATACTACCAAGTAAAGTTTTGGAAAGTCAGAAAAATACTCAAAAATCTACTTAACATTTGGCAGATCCAAGTTTTATCTTCTAATTTCGTTAACTTTTCAAATCCATATTGCATAAGCATACTTTCAAAAAATTAATTTACATATGAAATATTTATTAAAGTCCCTAGAAAAATCTCTAAATTTATACTATATTAATCTAAATAAAGAATTTTTAAGAAATGAAACATTCTTTGTATCCTTAATAAGAACATTTTTATTTCCAATTCTGGCTTAAGTTTGTAATATTTAGACAACTGCATGCTTTGAAAATCCAGAGAGCTTATAAATTTGAGGTAAAGGGCACATGGTATCTTCCTGTAACAATGGGTGCTTATGTGTAATTCCTTTCAACTTAGGAGTAAAAATCAGAGGCTCACTCCCATTATCTCCTACTTATGTTTTCCCAACTTCAACTATCCATGTTTTTCTTATAACAGCCTTTGCTCTAGTAGTTTAAGTATTATAATTTTTTAAGCTGATACATTCTTTGTGCTTCTTTTCTAATCATTTTTCCCCTAATTCTGACAGCTTTAGAATTCAGATTTAATGATACTTCTTTTTTTATTTTTGATACTTCTGAATGCTCAGGCAAGGAGAGAGAAATGAAAGAAAATGCAAAAATAGTTATCTTTGATAATTGCAGATTGATATCAATGGATCTTGTACAGTAGCTAGACACAATTAGCACAAATTTGAGATAGTTAATCTTAGTATTATTCTCAATTCCTGAGATATCATACACTGCTGGAAAAGGAAAAACTAGGTAACAAAGTGTTTTAGATACACTTTAGAATCATTAGTCAACACATATATTTGCTTCTGATACAATACCTGGTGATGTCTCACAGTGCTTTTCAATTTCAGAGAGTGTCCCAATCAAATTATCATCTTCTATCATATTTAAATAAAACAAAATATTGCAGGAAAACATTTTCAAGAAACAAGAAGAATCAAAACTTAAATCTAAACAGAGAGCTGAAAAAGCATCATGACAAAGAAGACTTCATAGATTTAGATTTAAAGACCTCTGTTGTTCAAAGGTGGCATATCCACCTGCCTTGCCTGAATCAACACTGTCGCCAACTTGGGGTTCTCCCGTTGCCAACACTAGCTGAAATCATAAATATGACTTATTCAATAAAAAATTAACCTGAAATCTCCTCAGAAATAGAAAATCTTCTAAATAATCTAGATAATGTGAAAGAACTAAAGCTTATTTTGGCTACCTAGACTACCTGCCTGATTTTTTTCTTTTTTCCTCCACATACAGATTTTATATGTAAACTTTTTTGTTTTAATTAAAATTTTATTTGTACATTTTAACTGTAAAGAAAAAAGAATTTTGGATCTGGGGTTGTGGCTCAGTGGGTTCAATTCTCAGGATCACATATAAATAAATAAAATAAAGATCCACTGACAACTAAAAAATATTTTAAAAAATAATAATGAATTTCATTGTGGTATATTCAAACATGCTTATAACATGTTTATCATTTCTACCCCACTATTACCCTGCTCTCTTTCATTCCCTTCCTTTTCTCTAGTAGTCTTCCTGTTACTTTCATGTTGTCTTTTTTCCTCACTAGATTCCACATATGAGGGAAAACAGGCAATAGTTGTATTTCAGAGGTTAGCTTATTTCACTTCAACATGATGCTCTCCAGTTCCATCCATTTTCCTGCAAATGTCATGATTTCATTCTTCTTTATGGGTGAATAATACTCCTTTGTGTATATGCATCACATTTTCTTTATCCATTTATTTACTGATGGGTACCTAGGCTGATTCCATAAGTTGGCTATTGTGAATTGTGCTGTGAAAAATATAGACATGTAGGCATGTCTATAGTTAGCTTTGATTCCTTTGGATATATACTTGGAGTTGGTTTAGCTGGGTTTTTATAGCTTCCAAATTTCTAGTAGGGTGTGAGTGTGTGTGTGTGTGTGTGTGTGTGTGTGTAGTTTTTAATAGAATCTGTGGGAAGCAAAATTAACAAGACCACATATACAAACAAAAATAAAAATGTTCATTAAACAAATAAAAAGACAAGCTTATTTGATATATTCAATTTACATGAATCTGAAAGATGGGAAAATGCTATATATGAAGGTATACAAGGTGGTCACATGTTTAGGCATTTAGAAATCAAAACATTTCATATTTCCTTCTAGCCTACATTACTTATGCTATATTTACAGTGGCCACACAGATAAGATACATTACTCTTAAGTAAATTTTGACAAATTAAACTGAATACAATTAAATCAGCTTAATTAAAACTGTCATTCTCAAACTTTAGCATTATAAAAATCATTTGGAAGGGCTGTAAAAAGTTTGGTACCCTCACTTCTAGATTGTCTGATTTTTAAAAGTCTGCATTTCTACTAAGTACGGAGGTACAAATGCTGCAGGTCCAACAACTACACTTTGAGCACTACTGAATTGGTGCTCATTTAGTGTACTTAAGGTATTGCTCTTGAAACACAATTGATGCATTTAAGTGGCTTTGCTTATTACATTCAGAAAAGAATCTGTAGGAAGAACTAAGTAATGACAGAAAAATTCTTGAGCAAAATATTCTAGAGCTAGTAAAACACTGGATTTGTTCAATGATGTTTAGGCTTATAGCTCATGTAATAGCTATTTTTAAATCTTTATGATTTAAATTCATATAAAAAATATAATTCATTGAAAGCCCAAAACCTTTTTCTTTCACTGAACCAATTGTTTTCAGAACACAATTATTATTTTTTGGAGGGATTACTGGGGCTCGAACCCAGTGGCACTTAACCACTGAGCTATATCTCCAGCCCTTTTTATTTTTTATTCTGAGATAGGGCCTTGCTAAATTGCTAAGGTTGGCTTTGATCTTATGATCCTCTTGCCTCAGCCTCCTGAGCCCCTGGGATTACAATTATGTGCCACCACGCCTAGCAGAACATAATTGTTTTTAAAACACAAACTTTCTTAAGAATGCATCTATGTATCTGGGGCACAGTGGTGCACACCAGCTACTTGGGAAGCTGAAGCAGAAGGATCACAAGTTCCAGGCCAGCTTGAGCAACATAGTTAGACCCTGTCTCAGAATAATAAATAAAGGGGTCTATGGATGTAGCTCACTGTTAAGTGTCCCTGGGTTCAATCACCAGTACCAAAACAAAAAACAAAAGAATGCAATTATTAGTTCATGGTTGAAAGCATACCATTAAATTTTGCCTTCAACTATTTATATTGACCAGCACTTTATACATCTGATTTTTTCTTAAAATTACTTGGGAGTAAATCCAGGGGAGCTCTGACACTAAGCTACATATCCGGTCCTTTTTATTTTTATTTTGAAATAGGGTTTTGCTAAATTGCTGGAGTTGGTCTTGAACCTGCCGTTCTCCTGCCTCCACCTCTGGAGTAGCTGGGATTACATGTACAGCTTGACTCATCCTTAATAGTGCTAGCCACAGTTAAAATTCTATACATAATAAAGACTGAAATACAAAAGGAAACATGAACAGTTTGACAATGTTAGGTATGTTTCCTAAAATATATTTCTATTATTAAATTCTTCAGTAGCCCATTAAAAATATATATGTATGTTATACATGTACATATAAAATAGTGTTCATCCTTCATATGCTAAATTTCATAATCAACAATGACCACTTACCTACTGTTGGAGTATTGGCAGCACTCAATGAAGTAGATGATGAGATAGAGGAAGAACTTTCTGCCCGGGCTAAAGGAGCAGCAGGAGGTGGGCTGGTATTGGAAGTTACAGGTGGACTGAATGGCCTGGGCTTAAAAACAAAAAGTTATTTATCAAAATGCTAAAACAATTCTTTCCTTGTCAGAGAAGATTTTTTAAGTATCAGATAATTTAAATATACCAAGCCGAATTTATTGTTTCTTATAATTCAAAATCAGAGATGCCATATGTCAAATCATTTTTAAGAATATACTGAAAGCTGAAGAGGCTGTTATTAAAATAATGCTATTAAAAATATCTTTGTGCATAAAATATCCTGTATGTCAAAAACTGTACTTAAGATTCTCAGAAGTCAGAATTACTAGTTTAAACAATATGAAGGCTCTTCATATATACTACCAAACTGCTTCCCAGAAAGGTTATTCACTTTACCCCACTATCCAATACATGTCAGATTATTTCTCCAGTACCCTTAGCAATGAATGGATGACTCAGAGAAGAAGGAAAAATAATAACTAAAATGACTTTTTAGTTAATTTTTATTGTTTGTTTTTGGAGACAAGGTCTTACTAAGTTTCCCTAACTGGTCTTGAACTTATGATCCTCCTGCCTCTGCTTTCTTGAATTGCAGGAATTATAGGTATACACCATCATGCTTGGCTTTCTAATTAACTTGGTAGGTAAAAACAGAATATGAATTTTCAGTTTTAAGAATAATGTGATGTGAACTTTGGTTTGTGTAAAGGGGAATCAGGGGAGGGGTGGGGATGGGAAGGATGGTAGAAAGAAACAGCCAGAGGAATGAGAAGTTGTGCTCCTTTTGTGTACTATATGTCAAAATACATTCTATTGTAAAATAAATTAATTTTTAAAAAAGAATAATGTGATGAGGTTTTGGTTTAGTATTACCTGAACTTTCACTAATCCTTTGCCTTACTTGTTACAAATATTTCCCTCCATTAACATTGCTTTCCCTTTATTTTTGATGTTTACAAATTTGTCCATATTTTACTTTGTAATTCCTTGTAATGCTTCCTCATTTAGAAAGTATTTCCCTCATGAGTTTGAGAAAACCTTAATTCTGTTGTCTTTGTACTTTTCTAGTTAAACATAAAAACAACCAAGAAAAATATATCTCCAATTTGTTTGTCTTTTACTTGGGTGAATGGACTTTTTCTTTCCAAATTCCTAATTGCTCCGATACACATTAGCAACATTTCCTAAGGTATTTCCTTTTTCAAAAAAATAGGTATATTCAGCTTAATTAAAAATAACTAATCAAAAGGAGATCAGGTAGGGAGCAGTGGCACACACTTTTAATCCCAGCTACTTGGAGGCTGAGGACAATTGTGAGTTCAAAGCCAGCCTCAGCAATGGTGAGGCACTAAGCAACTCTCTACATAAAATATAAAATAGGCCCAGGGATGTGGCTCAGTGGTTAAGTGCCCCTGAGTTCAATCCCTGGTACCCCGTCCCCCACCAAAAAAAAAAAAAAAAGATCAGTAGAAAAAGGAAAAAATGGGGTAGGAGGAGTGGAGATAAGGGGGAAGTGCTGGGGAGTAATATTGGCCAAATTATATGGTTATATTTTATGTATGAATGAACACATAACAACAAATCATTATGTACAACTAGAATACACCAATAAAAAAGTAGAAAGAAAAAATAGATTTTTTTAAAAATGCATTTTCTTGCTTATAAAGACAACAAATATTTATTTAGTGCCTACTACATGGCAGGCCCTGGACTAGGTACCAGGTACAAAGCTGTGAACAAGAAAGATACTTTCCTCACAGCCCTATCTATAAGCGTTCATACACTAAATCGGTCAACTCTTCATTATATTAATAAAAACATATGGATATGCTATAAACTATTAGGTTTTACTATACAAAAGTTTATAATTTGTAATCCTCTCCCGCCCATTTAACTATTTTTAAACTATTTTTTTTCCTAGAGTATAACTTTCTGATGACTCCTGATTATGGACATCACATTGAAAATAACCAGTAAGATTATAAATATACAGCTATATCTTTATACAGATAAAGATGATACAGGAAATGGGGCTGAACAGATACTGAATTCAATAGCTGGTCTGAAACTGAAAACCTTGGAAAAAGACTTCAGATCAGCTACAGCAGGAAATAGTTTTATGGAAACATGGCTTCATGATCAATGATGTGGTTGCATTTTTAAGAGCATTTTACAATTCTTAAGGAAAAGGCAAAAACAGCTCTTTTCTGAAGTGGTTTTCTCTTATTTTTAGAATGCTATTATGATGCAGTGGTCAATATCATATGAAATGTGGCTAGTCCAAACTGAAATGTGATATAAAGTATAAAATACAGAGTACACTTCAAAGATTTAGCATACACATAAAAAAGTAAAATTTTTAATTATTTTTATTCTGAATACATATTAAAATGTAACGATATGCTGAATAAAACAAAACATCAAAATATCACTGTTCTTTTTTAATACAGCTACTAGAAAATTATACATGTTACTTTAAAACAGTGTACATTAGTGTACATCAGAATCACTTGGAGCCCTTTTTAATGCACAATTTCTGGGCCCCTCTCAGAGATACTATTTCCACTAAGTTCCTGGATATGGCTATGCCACTAGTCTGATACCCTGCTTTGAGCATCATTCCTCTAGAACAATGAAGATGCTATCTGATGGACCACACAGCAATAAATATCAAGAGTCTTAAAAATGTGCATACCATTTAGTTCATGAACTTCATTTTAAAAATTTGTTTACTAAGAAAATAGAGAATGTCTGCAAAGAAGCAAACATAAAGATATTAATTAAGACACTGTTATAAGGAAAACTTGACAGCTTGTATCTAATCTTTCATTTCATTTCTAGTAAATCAATTCACTGGGATAGGAGTAAAAGAAAAATGTCATCATTTCAATACATGGTGGTCAAGCCTTCTCATTTATTCGATGAATATTTTCTAAATATTTCCTGTACAATGTGACAGGCATTTGCAAAAATCAAGGGCATGAAATTGGCTAAGGTATAGTCCAGTAAGGGAAACACACACTAAGTCTACATAATGTGATAAGTGTATTAATAGAAATATAAGCAAAGTATATAAGCAATAGAATGATTAAATATGATGGAATAATCAAAAACTAGATGGTGATATTTAGCTGGGTCTTAAAGAGAGAGGCTAACTTGCTATTAAGGAGAGTAACTAAGAACAGACTAAGGAAGAAGAGCACGAGAAGAAGACCAACATTAAACAAGGAGGAGAGGTGGGAGGGAAAGGGAGAGAGAAGGGAAATTGCATGGAAATGGAAGGAGACCCTCAGGGTTATACAAAATTATACAAGAGGAAGTGAGGGGAAAGGGAAAAATAATACAAGGGGGAGGAATGAATTACAGTAGTGGGAGTAGAGAGAGAAGAGGGGAGGGGAGGGGAGGGGAGGGGGGATAGTAGAGGACAGGAAAGGCAGCAGAATACAACAGACATGAGTATATCAATATGTAAATCAATGGAAGTGTAACTGATGTGATTCTGCAAGCTGTATACGGGGTAAAATGGGAGTTCATACCCACTTGAATCAAAATGTGAAATATGATATATCAAGAATTATGTAATGTTTTGAACAACCAACAATAAAAAAAAAAAAAAATAAAAAAAAAAAAGAATTTCAAGATGGAGGGCTGGGGTTGTGGCTCAATGGTTAAGCACTTGCCTCACATGTGAGGCATTGGGTTCGACTCTCAGCACCACATTTAAATAAATGAATAAAATAAAGGTCCAACAAAAAAAAAAAGAAAACTGAGATATGAAAAATTGTGCTCTATATATGTAATAAGAATTGTAATGTATTCTGCTGTCATATATAAATAAAAAATTTACATAAAAATTAAATTTCCAAAAAACTGTATAAACAGAATATGAAGAATATCACTTATTATAAAACATTTATGAAAAGCTAATTTTAGGGTTCTAAAAAGCTTGTTATGTTATGTTCATATATGGAATTCTACCTATATACTTATAATGCACTAATTAAAAGAATAATGATTATGATGATGATGATAATAATAATAAAAGGGATAACAATAGAGGAAGCAGATCAAGGGGAGGGAAGAGGGCAGTGAAAGAGAAAAATTGGGAAATGAGACCAAATTATGTTATGTATATGTACAAACATGGCATAATGAATCCCACTATTATGTATAATTATAATGTATCAATAAAAAATTTTCAAGAACTTAAAAAAAAACTGAGGAGTGCTTTAAATAGAAGAAGCACAATAAGAAAACATGAATGTATAAAAGAGCATGATGTAGCTTAGTGGTAGAGTGCATGTTAGCATGCATAAAACCCTGGATTCAATCCCCAGCACGAATTTTTTTTAAAAAAGCATGATGTGTTTGGAGAACACTGGAAAGTTTCAAGTGGCTGGAACCTAGGCTAGAATAAGAGGAGAAAGTTGGACAGTTAGTCTGGTGATGCAGGTTGCTAACACAACTTTATGAAGAGTCTTGAACATTCAGCTAAAACATCCAACCACGTGTATTATGAGGTACCAATGGAGATAAATACCAAGGGAAAAATATAAAGTTTGACTTTTAGAAAATTAATCCTGGCAATTAGTATAGAAGATGAGGCAAAATGAATTGGAGGCAAGAAGGTTGGTTTGGGATACCCTCACTAAAAATATAGCCCACAAATTTTTCCCATTATCAAATGACTTTTCAAGACCATATTCCCCACCATACACTTTTAAGTCAATTAACTGATAGAGACACCAGTTCTCTATGAATAAAATAAAGAAGGTGAACTAGATGCCCTCTAGGACCTGGAAGTATAATTCTAAGGTCTTAAGAACACACCACCATTACTTCCTTATATTTGACTTTAAACAGAACTATGTGAAAATTGCTTCTTTATTGTGAGACAACAGGTTCCAAATGGTATTTTCATATTGTTGAGACTATAAGGGAGAGTGAAGGAAGTATTGGTTGGGGGAATTTTTCTATATTTGGAGGAGCTGAGTAGAAAAGTATTTTAATGTACAGGGGCATACAGAAAAATATCATTTGCATCTTAAATCAAAACAGTTATATAATTAAAAAAAAAAAAAAAACACCTGAGTACATACTATTTCATTAATCCCACTGAGTTTGCCTGAAGTAAGCTTTGGTCTGGAAGCAGGCCTTGGAGGTGGGACAATGGTGCCTACAGAAAGAGGAGTTGTGGGCCTGGCTGGTGAGGGGAAAAAGAGAATTTGAAGAAAATCATTAGTATGTAGCAATCTTTATATAAAGACACTCTATTATAAAGGAACTGTTAGGATTCAAAACTCATTTTCTATGTTTTTTCAAAATGTAATTATAGGTTTTGTTGAAATAGTGGGAATCTATCAAATATGCTTTTTTTTGAAGCTACCAACAATATTCCTGAGAAAACAATCATTTATTAACCTTTCAACAAAACTGACATGCATGTAAATGTCATTCCTTTTTCAATTTTTTATTTATATGTATATAAATTAAATCTGATAAACTGGTGAAAATAAACCCTTTAAGGCCAAACATCATTATTACCAATATATCTACTTTACAGATAGTAAATCAAAACCATGCCTTTGTAGCTGTGCTTCAGAATAATAATGTAAACTCCAAATAAAACACTTACCTTAATTAAACTTATTAATTCACTTTTAAGTGGAACCACATGGTAACATTTTTAAGAATTAAAAGCATTAAAAATATTCTATTAATTTGCTGAAATTATTTGCCTAAATCACTTCAGTTAATTTTGAAGTTTATAGTATCTTTTCTTAAATCTTACAAAAATTTCATGTTCAGTTTTGTAATACCATTAGCAAATTTTACAATTTTTAAAAATCTGCATTCCTAATTTTAAAAACTCTTATCATAGTATAAATTACTGACTGAAATTGAAAAACGTACATCACCAAGTCACAAATGAATTAGCATAATCAAAGTAGAAATGAAGATGAAGAAAAATATGCTTAAATTATTTTTAAATAAATTAAACTTTAAACTTTCTTGGTTCAATCTAAAATATGTGTTATAATTCAGAGATTGAAAGATATAAAAGAGAGAAAAGAAATATATTCATCAAGTTCTAAAAATTTACAAATGTACAAAATTAAAAACATATAAATGGTCCTAAATGCGTACATGGAGAAACAAAGAGTAAAGTTGAAGGCTCTTGATTAACAATGGAGGAATGCAGTAATGAATGGGAGGGGCATACAGGTTGTAAAAATAAATTTAAAGAAAAAGATAGTTACAGGACTGAAAGTAAATGCATAGGAATAAGGAATCATATAGAAAGTGTATCACCATAAAGGGATAAAAGATATAAAATTCAGGTCGTTTGAGGAAAACAGTAGAAAGTTAAAAAAGGAATCAAGCCTAGATTCGGAGGCTTCTGCCTTCTTCCAGTTAGTACTAGTTCTTTCATGCTGTACTCATACTGTAAGATGTTCACTATAAGAAACATGCAACAACCTGAGTACCATAGTACTTCCCTTTGCTATGATGTATCTCCTTTAAAGATATGCTCATTATCCAGAACGGCAGTTATTATGAAGACAAATAATAAGTGTTGGCGAGGATGTGGGGAAAAGGGTACACTCATACATTGGTGGTGGGATTGCAAATTGGTACAGCCAATATGGAAAACAATATGGAGATTCCTGGGAAATCTGAGAATGGAACCACCATTTGACCCAGCTATCCCTCTCCTCAGTCTATACCCAAAGGACTTAAAAACAGCATATTTCAGGGACACAGCCACATCAATGTTTATAGCAGCACAATTCACAATGACTAAACTTTGGAGCCAACCTAGATGCCCTTCAGTAGATGAATGGATAAAAAAAAGTGGCATATATACACAATGGAATTTTACTCAGCAATAGAAGAGAATAAAATCATGGCATTTGCAGGTAAATGGATGGCATTGGAGAAGATAATGCTAAGTGAAGTTTGCCAATCCCAAAAAAACAAATGCCGAATGTTTTCTCTGATATAAGGATGCTGACTCATAGTGGGTAGGGAGAGGGAGCATGGGAGGAATAGATGAATTCTAGATAGGCAGAGGAGTGGGAGGGAAAGGGAAGGGGCAGGGGATTAGCAAGGCTGGTGGAATGTGATAGACATCATTATCCAAAGTACATGTATGAAGACATGAATTGGTGTCAACATACTTTATATACATACTTTATATGAAAAACTGTGCTGTATACATGTAATAAGGATTGCAATGCATTCTGCTGACATTTAAAAAAAAAATATATATATATATATATATATATATATACTCACTATCAATGACACTAGCACTGACCTATATGCCTATGTTATTTCAAGCTTGTGAGACAGTTTAACACAATAGAGGCATTTATACCTAAAGCTTCACTACTACTGATCAGAAGGCCTGTCCAAAGACTCAAACCAAGCCTCCTGGTAAAAGAGTAAAGTTTAGTTCCTCCAAACAATCAAAATCGAAGTTTTTTTTTCTTTCTTTCTTTTTTTGGTCCCAGAGATTGAATCCAGGGGTGCTTAACCACTGAGCCACACACTTGGCCCTTTTTAATATTTCATTTAGAGACAGGGTCTTGCAGAGTTGCTTAGAGCCTCACTAAGTTGCTGAGGCTGGCTTTTGAACTTGCGATCCTCCTGCCTCAGCTTCCTGAGGTGTTTGGGATTACAGGCGTGCACCACAGGGCTCAGCCAATTCTGGCTTTTTGAGGAAAGCTAACAATTAGGTAGCCTCAGGAGGAGATTAATAACAACTGCTTACATCTTTAGATGTTCTAACTGTACTTTGTTTTTTACTAGTGGATCTTATGGCTATAAATATCTATTTGATGTATTTTTTCAAGGTATAGGAAGTTACTATCTATAAAGTAAAAAGACAACAGCATTAAGAGCTAAACTATACCTGCTCTCACATAAGGGAATAGACAACACATGTTTGTCAGATCATTCTTTATCTGAACAAAGCAGTAACTAATTTAGAGTCTAGCAGCAATGTTAATGGTGTAGGAAATGATGACATCATTGTTAGCTTCTACTGTCAGTAATTTTTCAGGACATGTAATATTATGGCAGAGGTCACTCTGATTTTCAGAGATGTTTCTGTTGGAAGACATGCCATCCGAAGAATTGGGGAATCTGAAAGTATTTTCAGCTTTACAATGCACTCTCTGGAAGTGTTGTTACTTTTGGATAAAATAGATAATTAGGGGGAAAATCTGGTGATGGACTTTTCTAGACCCAGAATCTGACCTGGTTTCAACTAAATTTTTAGTTATTACATACCTAGGTATATCAGTGGAAAAGAAAATGAGTTCTTATTCTTTTCTTTATGGTTAGCAAAATAAAAGGAAATAACTAAAAACCAAAGCCACAGAAAAATTTTAGAACTAAAATATAAATCTATACAGCCAAACAGTTCTTTTATATTATTTTAATTACTTAGAACTAGAAAACAATTAATAATACATGGAACGAAAGCATGAACTCAAACTCTTGTGTGTATTTGTGAGTGGTGCTGCTAGGGATTGAATCCAAGCCATGGCAGGTAAGCATTCTACCACTGAGCTATATCCCCTGCCCTCAAACTTTACATTAAATGAGGAAAAAAGTATGAGCATAAAAAACCTAATACATATGAAAAATTATATAAAATGAAGGGCCCAAAACTACACTAAGTCAGAACTATTTGTTTTTCCAGTGAAGCAACATAACTATAACAGTAAGTATAAAGTCTAAAAAGATTTGACACAGTGGCAAAGTGATAGTGCCATGTATGTGGGGTGTTCAACAAAGTTCCTGACTTACCAGTGATAAAAGCGGTCTCAGGAAGTACACTGGACTAAATGAGCACTAGTGCTAATATTAAAAACCAGCTTAATATTTTTCAAGAGATAATTTTAAGAGTTTTTTGCAAAATACAAGAACTCCACTAATCCATGGGCATAGAAGAAAATGGCTGACAGAGTATTTACCAAAGGGGAGGTAGGAGACATTTATGTTAAATTTAAAAAACACATACATGAATGATTATATATGCTCACATTTGAAATAAACTTGTATGCTTACTTATAGTCTACATGGTATAAGATGTAACACAAACTACTTTTTGACCAAGCTCTAAGCATCTTTTTAAAACTTATCAGTTATTAACTGATAGAATTAAGATTCTGAAAGACACAAAGACAAAAAGGAATAATTTCACAACACAGAGCTTGCTGAAATATGCAAATGGTACTTGAACAGATGATGTTAAGATTTGGGGAGAAGTGCATTGCAAAAAATGCTGGATCAAAATTGAAGACATAATGCCTATTTCGTACTTAGGGAAAGTTTTTAAAACAGAAAATCATATTAATATATTGATCAGCTTACTTCAAAATTAATCCTGTTCACATGAAGTTTTTATAACAATTTCTATATAATAGGATAATTGCCTCTTTTGAACATCACTAACATTTTCTGAAGGACAATATAATCTATGACATTTTTCATATTATTATAGGAAGGTATAAAACATCAGTATGAATTGAAAAATCAGCAAAAGGTGAGGGTTCTAACATATTCCAAACATCAGATGAAAATGATTTTTTTTTCTATAAAATGAAAGTGGTGTGGGTGAAACATTTTTCAGACAGGTAATAAGAGGGACAATTTTTTTTTAAATGAAAGACTGTATACAGTAAAGAAAATATCAAGAAAAAATGAGCAGAATTATGAAGACATTATATAACTAAAGTCTCCGTGATACCAATTTGAAAATTTTTATTAAAGATTTTAATAAATCACTCATAAAATGATATTAAAAAATTCAACACTACTGCTTATAACTCTTCATTCTAAATACAAAACATCATTCTGATATCTGTACCAAACACAAATGAGACCTCTATAACAATTTCAATTTTTTTATACAATTACTTTCCTTGGACAGTGTATTGTAAGGTTAGTTTTGTAACACTAAATAGTAACACACATCCACTGAGAAAGTTTATAAGGTTACTTCAGAGTATGTTCAACTATCAGTGTGTTTTTGTTTTTTTCCTGTTTTATAAGCATTAGGTACAGATTACCCTCCCTTCAAAATTTCAAACAGTGTCCAGGAGTAAGCTTTTCTATAATCTATTTATAGTTGATTTTAAAAATATTTACTCCTTAAACAGTCTAATTAAAAATATTTTTAGTTGTAAATGGACACAATAACTTTATTTTGTTTATTTAGTTTTTTTATGAGGTGCTGGGGATTGAACCTAGTGCCTCATGATGCTAGGCAAGCACTCTGCCACTGAGCCACAACCTCAGCCCTGAACAGTTTAATTTTAAATACTAATATTTATCAATAGTAAAATGTTTCAACATAGCTTATTTTTTTAAGCTGCCAGAGTGTGAAAGATTTAAAAAATTATTTTCCAATTAGTAAAATCCAGGTTGAATCCTGTCTCTATCATTTCTTACCTATACTATCTTGAAGAAGTTGCTGATTATCTCTAAGTTTTTCCTTTTTTGGTAGTACTGGGGAATGAACCCAGGGGCACTCTACCACTGAACTATATCCCAGCCCTTTTTAAATTCTTACTTTGAAACAGGGTCTCACTAAGTTGCTAAGGCTGGTCTTGAACTTGCAATCCTATCAACTCCACATTCTTACCAAAGCAACAACTAAAAAGCACTCATCAAATTTTTTCATATATTGCTTGGGTAGTGTTAAAGCCTTTCGGGAAAGCAGTTTGGCAATAAATATCAATGGGAATATCTTGTGACCCATATATTTTATACAGGTTATCACAGGATATTATAAAATGTACATAAAATTTATTATTTCCACTGATGTATATAATACTAGAAAATCAGATGCAACTTGAATGCCCATCAAGAAAAGACATTATATTAATGCATATCTATGTATTTGAATTATCTATAAATAATAAGAATTATTATTTGGGCAATTATATAAAATGATAGCTAGAAATAAATATATAAATTTTAAACTCCGTTGATATTTGATGAATTTTTATTCTTTTTTTTTTTAAACACAATGCCTTCATTTTTATGTGGTGCTGAGGATCAAATTCAGGTCCCGCCCATGCTAGGCGAGTGCTCTACCCCTGAGCCACAATCCCAGCCCTGAATTTTTATTCTTTAAGTCTTAGTAGCTTTACACTAAGTTAACCAAACCAGTATGAAATTATATCTAGCTGGCAATATGATCAGAGGAAAAATTTTAAAAAGTTTTGGACCACTAAATATAAGACACAGGTGGTAAATAAATCAATTAGAAAAAAAAAAGTGGCTAATGTATCCCTCTGGTGAAAGAAAACAAAAACAAGAGCAGGGGAGAGAGAAAAGAGAAGAGTAGGGAAGAGAAGGGGAGGAAAGCAGGAGCAGGAGCAGGTGCAGGAACCAGAGCTGGAGCAGAAGCAAGAGCAAGAGCAAGAGCAAGAGCAAGAGCAAGAGCAAGAAAAAGCATATATATTTACCTGATGATGATGAAGTTAGTGAAGCTGAAGATGATGAATCAAGAGATGGTCCAAATAGGGGGTCCCAAGCAAGTAAATCACTGGTTCCTTTTCTACCATACCATTAAAAAAAAAAAAGATTTTAACACAATAATATATTATTAGTATAAAAATTAGTCACATATTTGTTTCGTAGAATTCTAACAGGTTACTCGAAATGATTAAAAAGTTGGGTATTTGCCAATGGTTTATATGACTTAATAAACTGAATAAAACAAGTACTTAAACAGAACCTACAATAAATTGGCAGGAGAAAATAGGGAAGATTAATCTCCCTTAATCATGCCTTATTAGAGTCCCTTAACCTTGGGAATTAGAAAATGGTTTCAGCTTTGCAAATGAAGAAAAGCAGCATACAGATTCTAAATGAATTGTCTAAACACACAGAGTTACTTGATTCTAAAACAGTCTCACCTCTACTGAATCATACCTCGCATCCAGTCTTGAACAGAAAATTTAAGTGATTTACAGATATATTATCTTAACTGAGACACTTCCCCATTTTGAAGTTCACAAAATACAGTCTATAAAGTAACAGTCAAAACTGTAGGAAGATCTGGGAATGTGATGGTGCACACCTGTAATCCTAGCAACTCAGAGGCTGAGGCAGGAGGGAGGATCACAAGTTCAAGGCCAGCCTCAGCAACTTAGTGAAGCCTTAAGCAGCTTAGTGAGACCCTGACTCAAAAAAATAAAAAGGGTTGGGAAAGTGACTCAGTGGTTAAGCTCCCCTGGGTTCAATCCCCAGCATCAAACAAAAACAAAAATAAAAACAGAACTGAAAGAAGAAATAAGAACATTTTCATGAGAATAACTAGTTGAAATACAGACATGTATAAGCTTAGGATATCATCATTTATTTAGAAGTAGAGAGGACACCAAGGCCAACTGCAGTTAAACACATTTAAAGAAAAATCATCCTAAAATTTCAATATGGTATTTCACAGTTTAGAAAAGAGAATGCTTAAGAATACTTTACTAAAATTAAAATTCTAGAGGTAAGCTACAGAAAACTATAGAAAAAAAGAACAAGAGGAGGATATTTAAAATTTAAATGTGATGGAAAGGAAGGAAATAAGCAGAGCAAAGGATTTTGAGAGCAGTAAAAATACTCATGATGGGGAATATGTGTGTTTTTAAAACCCACAGAATGTACACCACCAACAGTAAACTCCAATGTTAACTACAGAATTGGGGTGATTTAGGTGTGTCAAAATTTAGGTGTATGAACTGTAACAAATACACCACTCTGGTGAGGGATTTTGATAGGGAAGTTAAGGATATGTATATAAGAAACCTCTATACCTTTTTCTCAATTTTGCTCTGAACCAAAAACTTTTTTAAAAAATAAAATCTGCTCAAAAAAATAAATAAATACAGAACTTACTCATTGGGTGGAACAGATGGCTTTGATTTTGTTAATTCCTCATCTAATTAAAAAACAAAATGTTATACAAAAATTCATAATCTGAGAAATAAAAACATTTTAATGAAAACAAAAACTCTTCACATATCCCAGTGCTATGAACAATTTAAATTTTGGAAGTGTTAAGAGACAATTATGAAGAAAAAGTAAGTTAAATTGAATTTCTGCTCAATCTTTATTTTTTCCAACATCTTCAGTAAGAAATTATTTAAGTCAACTACAACATTCATTAAAATAAAATTACTGGTTACAGATGATAAAACAGGGCTGTAACTTTAAAATTACAAGAAATGTTTAAATACATATATGTATTAGTAATTATTATATTGACTAAAAGTAGTGACTAACTATTGAAGGAAGTCCTATTTCAAAAACTTAAAATTTTTATAGCAATCTGGAGCAATAGTCTGTTATCACCTTTTTCATTTGTGATGTGCCTCATTTCATAAGCAAGTAATAAACAGGAGAATCACATTAGTATCACAAAAGTCATGTTGGGAGCATAAGAACTTCCCCTGCACATTAATGGTATGCATTACCAAGCACTAGTTGATGAATGCAAAGTAAATCAATATGGGTAGCTGCAACAAATTTCAGAGAAGTACTTCTCTGTACACAACACCCAATCATACTACATTCTTTCATTTGGTTCAGTTTGGCTCCTTATTCTGCCTTAAAATACTTATTGTACTCTTCTCCATCTTTCTACATTTTGCCCTCATCTCCGTAACTCAAAAGTTCTCCATTTACCTTCATTTTCCCCACAATCTCTATCATTAAGCTACTACAACATATCTTTTTCAATGGAAAAAAATTAAATTAATTTTGGTACGTACTATGAATTTAGTAAGTCTTTTTAACTGTGCTAAAATTTTAATTAGGATTGATGTTTTAGGTTTTTGTTAGTCATTCTCTGTTTACAAAATTACATAGCTTTAGAATTTGCTGTCTCAACTTGTATTTTTCCCATAACCCTTGTTATTTTTAATGCATGATTTTGCAAAAGGTGCCAACACCCTGAAGATTTTATTACTAATTTCCTATTTGCAAACCATATAACAAAACTGAAATTATCCATATGATTTAAAAATAGATAAAACTAAAGATTACTTATTTTATAAATGATTTTTGGCTCCTACAGAGTATGCAGAGTATACTGATTAAGATTCTTAATCAGTAGTTACTCTTTGGTTTTGCTGATTTCAGAAAAATTTTGTAGACACATGTTAAAGTTTAAGGTGTCTCTTAGTGCCCCAAGAAATAATATAGATAAGTTGTTTTATGTTTATAATAAGTGTGCTTCTAATCCATCATTAAAAACTGGTAACAGATGAAAAGAGCATTTATTTCTATAACTACATAAGGCAACAAGACTATCAAATTGCCTGATAAATTAAGGTATATAAAATAACCAATCCAGATGTCAAACTTACTAGACGAATTCCGATTCATCTGTACCTAAAACAGAAATGCAAAAACTAAGTACTACTAAACAAATTATTTAATTCTGTAATGAAATATCTGGTAGAATGCTAATACCAGGAATCGAGTTTTAACCTGTTTTTAGTATATTTGCTCAATTATAAACTGTATTTACATAAAATATAGAAAAATTTCAACAGTTGTTTTACAGTTAAAAAAAATACAGGAGCTGGGGCTCAGTGGTAGTACACTTGCCTCGCATGTGTGAGGCACTGGGTTTGATTCTCAGCACCACATATAAATAAATAAAATAAAGGTCTATCAACAACTAAAAAATGAAACTAAAAAATTAAAAAAAAACATGTAACTTCAATCGCAAGAAAATGTTCTTAAAATATTAAAACATTAATGTCTACAGTAAGATACAATATATAACCTACTAATCTAAATAATTTAACAAAAATATTTTAAAAATCAAGATTTAAACAATACAATGTTTTTTAAAAAGTCAATGAGCAAAAATACAAAATACTGCACTTACCGGACTGTGTCTCTAAGGACATGGAAAGAAAAAGAAAGATATTGTGTTCAGTATAGAATTTAAGTTACCCTACTTTCCTGCTCTAATAATTTTTCTATTCCCTTCTGAATTACACCTAAACTATACATACCTTAAAACACATACATTGTTAGAGGCAAGCAGAAAAGATTGTTTAAATAAGCAAATTGAACAATAAAATATACTCAAAGATACCTTTTTTTCAAATCCGATATTAACTGAAAAATTTTTTTATTCATTTTCTGAGTATGAAATTAATTTATGTTCATCTTAAAAACAGAAAATTAATAGCACAAAAGATAAAATTCAAAACTACCCTCTACCTCACTACCCAGAGAGATACTTACTATTTTGATATATACAAGCATTCATCTAGGGTTTTATTTATTTAAACAAATGTTTTTAAATTACACAATAAAAAATTTTAACAGTTCACAACTCCCTACTTTATATACACCACTTGTACACCACTCTTGATGTTACACAGTAATAATACAATAAAACACCACTTCAGAAATCTTCTTTGGATTGGGGATACAGCCCACTGGTAGAGTGCCTGCCTAGGAAGTACAACACCCTGGGTTTGATCCCTAGCCCCCTGGGAGAGAAGGAGTTCTACAATTAAATTCCAAAGTACATGTTTGGGAGAAAAAAACATTTTTCGAAAAAAAAAAATATATATATATATATATATATAGAGAGAGAGAGAGAGATTACCTAAAACATATAATTAGATAATATAAAATGGGAGAACTTTTATTCTTTATTATCAAGAAAAACAGATTTAATATCAATTATGATAATGCATAGACATACTTGTTAACTATTCTGAGACACACTTTTTTCCCTGACAGTATAATATTTCTGAATTCAGACTATGACATTATCAATGAAAAGATTTATTTTAGTAATGTTTTGTTTTTCCCTCAGAAGCTAGTGTTATAATGACAAACAAACAAACAAACAAAAAGTAAAGGGGCTAGGTAGAATGCTTGCCTACCAGGTTCAAAGCCCTAGGTTCAAACCCTTGTAAAGGATATAGTTTAATTTTGAAATTCATTTCCATTAAGTACTTTCACACAAAGTTCACAAAATTTGAAAAGAAAACTTTAAAATTAGCTAAGAAAAAGATTAATACTTCCAGTTCACAAAATTCTACCTGAGATATACACCATTATTTATAAAATATAAAAATGATTGACTGAATTTTCCACATTTTTACTTTCTTGTAAAATACTTTCTGATCTAATATGTTCATTGCTAAATTGATGTCTTAACTTCTTATAATGCTTAAAATTAAGCAGTTCTAGGTAGATGAGGTCAAAAAAATAAATAAATAGACATATCTATGAAGAATACAAATTTGTTCATGTTCCTACTTACAGATATTGCTGGTGAGAGTGTTATATTCCCTATAGAAACTTTTAATTCATCCAAAGAAGCCACTGTGTGATGTGAGTTATTTGGATGCATAGGCTTGATTTCTATCCGGTACTTCTTTGGTTCTTCATCTTCAGAGTCAGAATCACTAGATGAGTAGAAATGGTTCTCTTTGGTATGTGAATATCAGTTAAAGAATTTAGTTTTAAAATTATCTTAATGCATAATCTTAATGCATAATGTTTTCCACACAATAAAAGGAGCAAAACTTAGGGTAAGATAGAATAACAAATACAATGATTAACTTTTGTTAATGAAAGCATGTCAAAGAATAGAGTAAGATTTTTGCTATAATTAAAAATTTAAAGAGGCTTTAATTAACACATTATTTTGTTGTAACCATCTATTTATATGCCAACATGATCCCTAAGAATACCCATATAATAAAAGGATATCATTCTGATTTCCTTCTGGTTTAATACTATAACCTTCTTCATCTACATCAGGAATGTTCTATGGGGGGGAAAAAACTATTATAATAACAATTCCAATTTTCAAAAATATTAAAGATCAGCAAAACACCCTTAACTATTATCGAGAAACTAAATCATTTATCAAATATCAACAGGTGAATAAAATTTTTAACACAGTGAGAAAATTAGATCTTTTTAGTTAATTAGCTTCAAATCATACTCCATGCTTCAGATGTCTGAAGAAAGAGGTGCAAAATGCAACAGGAAAAAAAACTCATAATTTCAGGTCAAAAAACCACCAGGATAAAGACCAATTCACAGTGCTCTAAATCAACAGTTTCTTTTCAGAACCAGGAAGGATAAGTGATTTTTTAAAAAAGTACTATGAAGCTAAATATTCTCAATGCTATAAGAAGCTGAATGTCAATATAAGATACAGTGTCTTTAATCAGCTTAAAGCCTGGGAGAACTAACTAATCAATCTTATCTAGAATAGTGCATCAATATCTGCTAACATCTCAGGAAGAGTTATCATGTGCCTCTGGAGAGAGGCAGTCTTGATAAAACAAAACAAGTGGAAAAAAAAACTTTAATATATATCTGATTAAGTGTTTAGATTCAAATATCAACTTATATAATAGAGAAGGAAAACATAATACACTGGGAACACAATCATCAAAATCCACACTAAAGTAAACTACCAACTACCCAGTCTCTTCAATAAATAAAAAGAAAGCTAAAGAAAGAGGGATGGAAGGGGAATCTATATATCAGGACTTATACATGTAAACAGATTCAACCAAAGGGTAATAAAACTGACACCAATAATAAATAATAAACACTGAAATGTTACCTGAAAATACTGATTTATCATAAATTATTTTAAAGTGTGCTCATATTGTGATTTCATCTTAGAGATATACATGAAGGGAGTTCTGATGAAATTATATTATTTGGAACTTGAGCGTGAAAATGGATGGGCAGTACTGGCTGTGGGAAATTGTTGAGGTTGACTGATGAGTACATGAGAGACCATATACCATTATGTGTATTTTATATTTCTTTAAAATTCTTCATATAAAAAGTTAAAAACAGTCTAATTGGCATTTATTAAAAGTTTGCAAGTTATATATTACAATTAGATGGAAATTAGTTTTTGAAATGCTTTGAGCATTTTAAAGGCTTCAAGAGGAGTCTTCTTTTGACACCATAAAATTCACTAAGAGGAAAGAAAGAAAAGAACATAGTAAATGAGGAGACCTAACACAAAGCTAAGAAGGAAGAACAAATAAATCAGGTGTCATGGAAAACTTCTTTTTTAAAAAATTAAAGGCAACTAGACATATCTGAAAGCAGAAGACGAGACAATAAATATAGATATTGCAAAAAGGAGAGGATATAAAATGGGAACAAGGTCTACAAAGAGCAAAGAAAAGAAGAAAAAAAAAACCAAGATAAAACAAGGAGGTTCTAAGGTGCAACCCTGTAATACCAGCTACTCTGGGGGCTCAGGCACAAGGATTGAAAATTGGAGGCCAACCTCAGCAATTTAGCAAGAAAGACCCTGTATCAAAATTTTTAAAAAGGGGGATTGGGGCTGGCTATGTAGATCAGTGATAGATGGCTGGCCCCTAGGTTCAATCTCCAGTACTGTAAATCAAATAAACAATACACACACAACCAGAAAACACAAGTATTAAAGCAAACATAAGCAAAATTTAAAAAGTGTGAACTCTATTATTCTTGCATTTTTGTCAGAAATTATTTCTAGATGAAAAGCTAAAATAAAAAAAGAAAGAAAGAAGACTGCCTCTAAATGCCAAGTACTACAGCAAAAATCCTTTTATTGATTAAATCTGCTATTCTTCCTCTAATCACTTTGAAAGCTCAGCAGGAGAGGTATGGAGGACTGCAAAGTCAGGCAAAATACAAGATCAAGGAGAACTAGGAGTAGTACTGACATGGTGAGAACTTCCAGCCCAAATAAACAGTCAACTGTAGCCACTAATGAGTTAATAATTGAAATCAAGACTAGATATAGAAAATCAAATGTAGGGCAAAAAGATTTCACGGATAAAAAATAACCAATGCATAGGTATAGCACTAGAAGTACAGCACTGTCTTTAAGCTCTACATATTGCCTGCTGATATGCAAATATTACTTTAGAACACTTTAAAACTAAAGAAACTTTGTCAAATGTGAATTCATTAAAAACCAGAGTGAAAAGGGGTTTTTTTTTTTCTCTTCAAATTATCCCTATAACAAGTATTCTAGAAACATATCAGGTACAGGAGTCCCCCAACTTAACCATGGTTTCATTTTATAAAATTTCAATCACTTGTGGTCAATTAAGGTCTGAAAACACTCAATTGAAACCCCCAAAATAAAAAATTCAGAAATTTTAAGTAACTTTAATTATAGCACATTTCTATAATTATTCTATTTTATTATTGTTGCTAATCTTACTGTACTTGATTTATTAAACTTTATCCTATATATAGGTATATACTCAGAAAAAACAAACAAACAGATAGTTTGTTTATTTCAGGCATCTATTAGAGATCTTGGAATATACCCACCCCCATGGATAAAGGGGGACTAAGATTTCAAAACTGACACTACTTTAAATTTGTTTACAGAGCTGAGGTTGTGGCTCAGTGGTACGGCACCGGCTTAGCACATGTGAAGCACTGGGTTCAATCCTCAGCACCACATTAAAAAATTAAATAAAGTTATTATGTCCATCTACAACTAAAAATGTTTTTAAAATTTTGTTTGCAATGGACTGTATAGTATGATGTCATAATTTAAAATAATACTAGCTGTTTTCAGTGAGGCTGAGTAAGCTGCTTTTGACCAATCTCCTACAGAGTACACCATAAACTCTCGTCAAAATATATAAACAACTATCTGAAGGTATTGGAATGACCTAGAACAACCTCTAAAAAAGACTCTACAGAACAACTGACCCAAAAACTCTATAAAGAAAGAAAAAAATGGAATTTTCATTCTTATTTTTTATAACTTATAAACTTTAATAAAATAGCAATAAATCTTAATAGTTTTAAAATGCAAGTATTTTAGATCAAATTAAGAACATATTTTGGTTTTATTTTTCCTTGTTTAAAATTTAACAACTTTATAGTGAATATCCTATAAAAAATGGAATTTTTAAAAGGTTCAAATAATCCAAAGGAAGGCAAAAAATAAAATAAAAAAGTAGATTTAAATCCTGAAATATCATTAAAGATAAATGGCCCAAGTGTATCAATTATATAAACTAAAAGGCTTCTGCACAGAAACCAGAGTTAAGAGAGATCCTACAGGATTCACCCATTAAGGAATTAATATCCAGAATACATAAGGAACTTAACAACTCAACAAACCACTAAAAATCCAATTTTTTAAATGAGTAAAATGATCTAAATAGACATTTCTCAAAATAAACTATACAAATGGCCAATAGGATAGGAAAAAACACTCAATTTCACTAATTAGGCAAGTACAAATTAAAACAACAATGAGATATCTCACTGTAGTAGAATAGTCATTATTAAAAACAAACAAAAATAACAAATGCTTGTGAGGATGTAGGAAAAGGGCTACTCTCATACACTGTTAGTAAAATTGTAAAATAGTATAGCCATATGAAAACAGCATCATGTTTCCTCAAAAAACTAAAACTAGAATTATCATATGTGTCAATGTCAAGATTACATAAAATCCAAAGTAAAGGAATTAGTATATCAAGGAGATATCTGCATGTCCATGTTTACTGCAACACTATTTTATAATAGCCAAGTCATGGAATCAGCCTAGGCGCCTAGGTGTCCATCCACAGATGAATGAATTAAAAAAAAAAGTCACACACACATGCACACACACAATTATTCAGACACAAAAGGAATGAAATTATGTCATTTGCAGCAAGATAAATTAGCCTAGTGAAATATGATCTGAGTTACATGTATGAGCTAAAGAAATGAAGGTGGTGAATTGTTAGTTACTCTAATCTGATCATTTACCATTGCATGCATGTATTGAAATATCACACTATAACACATAAAATTGTATGGTTATGTATTGATTAAATTTTTTTAATTAGCCAGGCATGGTAGCACACACCTGTAACTCGGGAGGCTAAGGCAGGAGGATAGCAAATTCAGTCAGCTTCAGCAATTTCTTGAGGCCCTAAGCAACTTAGTGAGATCCTGACTCAAAATATTTCTAAAAATGAAAAAAGGTTGGGGATATGGCTCAGTGGGTAAGTGCCCCTGGGGTTCAATCCCCTGTACCAAAAGAAATTTTTAATTATAATTTTTAATGTATATAGTTATGAAAAATTATATAACTACTAAAATAAATAATACAAATTTTTAAAAAGAGATTGGCAAAACAAATTTAAAAAGTCATGTTCCAAGTATATAAGAAACTCACTTCAAATTTATAATAATATAGGTAGGCTGAAAGAAAAAGGATGGAAAAATATATCAAGAAAACATTAATAATAATTAAAAAGATAAAAGTGGCTGTCTTGGTATTAGATAAAGCAAATTTTAGAAAGAAAATTACCAGGGCAGAGAGGAATATAATGTCCACACAAAAACCTGTACACACTGTTCACAGCAACTTTATTTCTAACAGCCCAAAACTGAAAGCAACTAAAATCTCCTACAATACATCAACAGTTAAACTTTGGTACATGCATTACAAGGACTACTACCTAGCAATAGAAAAGAATTAATTCTTAATATACACAACAACCAGGATCAATTTCCAGAGACTTGTGCTGAGTCAAGAAGAAAAAAACCAATCTCAAAAAGGTACTATGAGATTACCTTTAGATAATGTTCCTGGACGACAAAATTATACAAATGGAGACGAGATTAGTGGTTGCCCAGGTTAAGGAGCATGTGGGGAAAGAAGAAAAGCGCCTGGTACAGAGGCAACCAACATGAGGGATCTTTGTGGTAATGTGAATGTTCTGTTTTGATTCAATTCTTAATATTCTAGTTATATACTTTACTGTAGTTTTGTAAAAAGTTACCATGGGGGAAAATAGAATCCAGATATACAACACTGTATCACAGATACACAATTTTGCTCTATACTACCTTTGCAACCTTCTGTAAAGCTATAATTATTTCCATATAAAAAGTGTTTTAAAAAATTTAATTTTTTTTTAAAAAGGGGAGTTTTGGTTTTTCTTAAAACAGTGATTCTAAATGTACTAGCTTTTCAATGCTAGAACTATTCAAAGAAATCTGATATTAATAAAACCTAGTAAGACAAGGGCACATCTATATTTACAGTTACTAGGGAGGCTGAAGCAGGAGGATCACAAGTTGAAGGCCAGCCTAGGAAACTTATACCCTGTCTCAAAATAAAAAATAAAAAGGGCCTGGCATGTAGCTCAGTAATAAGAGTGCTAGCAGAGCATGCACTAGCTCTGGGTTTAATACTCAGTACTGCAAATAACAAAGCATAACATTTAATTAAAACCTATACATTGCCTCGAATATATCATTAGACATTCAATCAAAAATTTCTATATAGGGCCCACATCGCTGGGGTAACGCATTAGATAGAAACCAGTATGAAGAACAGGCAACTTGATCCACCAATTTTAAAGGCAGATATTGTAGTAGTATAGTAGTAATTGTGATTTTTTAAAAAATACCTACTATAAGGGAGCTCAATATTCAATGGAATGTTTTGAAATTTCACTCTGGCACTGGGTTTATTAGCCAAAAAAAAAAAAAAAGGGAGCAGTTTATATTTCCTTGGCCAACTTTCAAAATTAATTTTTTAAAATTATATACACTTTAAAAAAATTAAGAAATTAACAATAAATAATTTTTCTACCAAGACAGCCTAATTATTTTAAAAATAATTAGTTAGACAAGGGCATGAACAGGTCATAAATAAACAATAATTAGCCATAAATAAAAGGAAAAAATGAAAATCTTTCCATGCTCAAAGGTAACCACATTTAAGTATCTTATAACTCATTGAAAAAAAAGGTAACCAATATACCTACATATTTATATTACTTTTAAAATAGCAACTGCTTCAAAGACTATACTATCTTTTAATTGGTAAGTTCTTTCCATATCAGCAGACACAAATCAACCTAATTCTTTATAACATCTGATTATTACCCTGTCAAGTGAATGTTTAATAATTCATTCATCCATTTCTCATTTTGAAGGATGTCTTGATGTTCCAGTTTTTTGCTAAGTGTAATAAAATGTTGGAATTAATATCAATTTCTCCCTTCTCCCTCACCTTCTATAAATGGATATGCCTTAGTTAAGAGTGTGTTACTACTATGGTGTACACTACAGAGATATGATGTTTTGTGAGTACAGCCATTAACAGTAAATTCCTAGCAGGGAATTACAAGGTCAAAAAGAATGTTCACTTCTTATTTGGGGTAATATTGTCAAATCAATTGACTACCAATTTACATTTCAACAAATTAAATTGAAAATACAATTGAAGAGATAATATTTTCATTTTAATTTGCTTTAGTTCTGAGTTACATTTTTTACAGTTATTCCAGATTTTCATTTTTATAAAACTGCCTATTTTCATCCTGAGTATGTTCTTTTCCTACTAGGCATTTTCTTGACTTTTGTACTAATATAAACAAAAATTTTTTTATAAATTAAAGTAACTAGCCTCCTGTCACATGTCTTGCAAATATACTCTCTTGGTTTGCCTTCAGTGATTCAAATCATCTCATGGTATATGTTTTTTTAATTTTTATAAGTTTTTCATCTCTACACCAATTAATCAATCTTTTCTTACATGGCATTAGAATTTTGTGTTCTCTTTAGCCTTTCCCTAACCAGGAATGTACTGGCTAAACTTCAAAATTGTATAATAACTGATCATAATGGAAGAGTATCAATCAGCTGAGAGAATTATGTCTAATTTAAGAGAGTATATGTAAAATAAAACATGAAGTACTAAATAATTTTATTCAATGTTTCAATCATCAAATAAATTCTATGATAATCAACTGAGAAATAAAATGCATGATGAGAACTGCAGTAAATGTAAAACACATCTGCTTTTTTATTAATAAGGGCATCAAATACTAAGGTAAAGATACATTGTATCTCCAGAAACATTCTAATGATTTTTAACTCAGGAAGCCTACTTCTTAATTTTCATATAATTCATTAACAAATCATAATTTTCTGGTTTTAAAACTGAAATAAAAAGTACCTAAGTTACAGAAAATACAATATTTTACAAAATATTTTTAGTTTTTTAAAATTTTAGTTAACCATTCTACTGTAAAAGATAAAAAGCTTTAGGGCCAAAGGAAACAACAGTTATGCAAGCAAGAATGATAACCTTAAAAGAGAGAATATTTGAAACTCCTATACTTATCAATACAATCAGTGTCTAAGGAACAGTTTGAAAAATAAATCTGTCTACACTTTATTTCAATCTACTCTGCCACTAAACCCACTTGGCATTTCATTTAATATCTTCTTTAATTATATATAAGGAAATACATTTAACCAAGAAATATAAATAAACCTCCTTTAAAACAAAAAGTGCAAAACAATACTGACCATGTTTGTTGTTTCCAAAATGACAATGTTTTAAATGAAACTCAAATACATGAACAAAAAGACAGTATTTTAATAGAGCTAAGACTAAACTAGTAAAAGCACTATAAGTTATAAAATAAATGATGCAGATAGTCTATCTGGCATGTTTCCCTTGAAAAAGAATAATGATACAGCATCACTCCACTTTCAAAAGTTAAATATCCACTTTTAAAAGGTAGTTGAAAAATACTAATTCACGGGAAAGTCATCTGGCAATGTTAAACCAAAGATACATTTTTTTTTAGACACTTTAAAATTTTAATGTAATTATATATATAAGATAGTACTGAATCTCCGAAGTTTTAACATGATTTTGACAGATCTTTATCATATATGCACAGAACATATGAAATGTAAAATAAAATCAAAACTTCAATCTGAGTTAATTACATCAATATATATTGACAGATTTGATGTGTTTCTCAACTTTAAAAGTAGGTTCTCTTTACCTGAGACAAAGGAGACACTAAGGAGCCTCAAAAGTCAGAAAACAAGTTATTTTTAATGTATAATCCTGATAAAGATATATTTTTAAAATAAGTTTAATAGTGAATTTATACTAACATGGTTAGTATTTTTCTTGTGTTTTAAAGATCTATTAACAATTCAAACATGCTAGTTTTTTTCTAATGAAAAGAACTAATATGAATTATATCAAAGGTAAATCTACTTACAAGTGAATCTGCATCGGGGCATTCCCTATTAAAACAAAGAATCGAAAACATTCAACTATTAGAATTGTCACTTATTATGCCATATTTAAAGTATTTATTTTGGTACATAAACATAACTTTTACTTAAACTCTACACAAATATTTAGAGAAAACAAATTATGAAGATTAAATTATACCAAATTATTTTAAAATTCAAAAAAGAAATTCCTATACCCATAACACCTGACAAAAATAAAAATAACTTTCAAACATGCTAAAAATTATTTTCAAAAGTACTTCATTTCATGGATACTCATACTTCATACCAAAGAAGTTGGCAGTTCCATAAGGCTTTCTAATGGCTTTTAATTCTCCAAGTAGAGAAAGTTTTTGTTTGTTTATTTTAAATTCCTTTGCCAGAAGGAAACTTGGCTTTAAAAAGTAAGGTCTATATTTAAGGGAGCAAGTAGTCTAAAACTTTAAAACTAGTGGATAATTTATATTTATTGGTAAATAAAATTTTAAAATAATATTTAAACACTTCAGTTTCATTTGAAGTACTTTTTATAACTTGGCACACACAGATGTTAAAACTGGTTTTCTCCAAACATGCTGAACAAGAAATCTTGCCTTTGGTGTAACTTTGAAGTCTTACAGAGTATGTAGTTGAGAACTAGTATTCTATCATGTATCTGATGAACAAATATTGAATTTTTATATAACCTAGGGAAAGCTATTATTTTAAATGCTAAACTAAAATAAAAAGATCAGAATACAATTGTCCACTAAGTTCATGAGTAATAAGGTTAAAAGAATTTCTATGTATATGATCTAAAACAAATGTATAATAATTGAGAGTTCAAACTTAAAAGGCATTTATACTTTTTACTTAAAATAATTAATGCATACAATATAAGAATCTTATAGAAAAATATGCAAATTTAAGAGTTACGTTAAAGGAAGATAGAATGAAATAGATTTACAAAGGAAAAGTTCAGATCACTACACTGCTCTTAAAAAAAATGAAAACCCCCAATAAATAGGGTAAATGCAAATCCCGTGTGTTTTTATATTCACTTAAAAGCCACTTTAAAAAAGTCAGGAACAGTGACACATGCCAGTAATCCCAGCTAAGGAAGCTGAGATAGAAGGACTGCTTCAGTATGAGTTCAAAACTAGTATGGGCCACAAAGCACATTAGAAAGACCCCATCTCAAAGGGGGGCAAGGAGTCACTGAAAATTGCAGTTTAAAATAGTTTCCTTACTCATACGTAAGGAATATAATATGAAAAAAAAATGCATGCTTTGAGGTAATGTTCCAGAAAAGACACAGTAATAATATATACAATTCTTCTAGAGAATTAAATCAATGAAGATGTTAGAACATTCTCATATTCTCCTTTTTTAAAGATACATTTAAACATAAAGTGTTAATGTTCCAAACAGTTTATTCTTTGGCTTTGAGCCAGAACTCTCCAGTCTGTGTGGTAAAGCACACATCTTATCTGTTTGCCTTCATGGTAAGCAGTATGAGACCTGCAGATAAAGCTCTAGGAAGTGTAAGGTCTGAGCAGGACTCATCTATCATAATTACTGAAAACTTAAAAGCTTTCAGGCTATGAAGAAAGGCATGCCAAGAGCCTCTGGCATTTCAAGCAAAGTGAATTCTCACATTTTTCCTGCCAAGAAGTTTGAAAGAAGGTGATGGTGGTACAGTGGCTTAAGCACTGACTTTCTGTTCTTGTATTGTCTTTTGTTAAAAGAAAAAAAATCTAACATCCAAGTGGCTTAATAATCCTACCAGAATTCAATGATCATGAAAATAATTTCCAAAGCATGGCATTTAAAATTATAAGTTCATTGAGTGAACAGTAGTGAAAGCCAGACATGATAAAAAGATCTTTATTTAAGGCTATTATTCTTTACAATATAGTCACTAGCACATAAACTGGCTACATTTTAAAAAAATTTACTTAACAAATAAATTGTTTAAACTTCAATATGTATTTTCAATATTGCAAAAAGAAATTAGGTTCTATCCTCTTAGTAAAATATCACCTTCATAAATGCTTAAGAAAAACATTAGAAGAAAAGATGCTATCCACAAATATATAAATCACTTTGCAATGCTTTTAATTTTTGAACCAAATTAAGGAAAAAGAAACAGACATTTAGAAAAGGAGAAACTCAGTAACTAGATAGGAAGTAAGAATACTCAATGCACAAATATTCTCATGTTGAAAATATAAGCACCAATCAAAATATCATAAGAGTTCTACTGATTATGCTAAAGAAACAGGGATTTTAAGCTTATTTTCAGACAATGTTCCTGAGTTAACAAATCATTCAAGCCTTTTGATTAGTATTTCTTCAGTTTAAACAGACCGAGTAATTATGGAAAGGAAGATTCGTTTACTTTGAGTTTGTCTCTGAATAATCACAGCTCCAAGTTTTTTCAAACCTAGGCTTATATTAGGAATGCTTATATAGGTTGCTTAAAATGAAAAACAACAAAAACTATGCTGAGGTCTCATGCCTAGAGAACAAGATTTAACTGGTCTGAGTGGCCACCCTAAGTAAGTTTATTTTAATATCCTAAGAAGTTTTAAATATAGCCATGGTAATTTTGTTTGGCTAATAATATTAACTCAATTTATTACATGCTAATTATATATTCTTTGTATACTATTTTCTTATTCTTAAAAGAAGATAAGTCAGATGTGTAAGAAGACTGCATACTCCATCTAAAAATGAGAACTTCCTATAAATGGTAAAATATGTTAAGGTTTCCCTCTCTTGCTGTTCAACATTTTCCACTGATATATACACATATCTCTACATGCTTATAGCTTAGAATTGTCCAGGAAGATTTTCATCAAATAGTTGACCAGAGATTTTATTTTAGATAATAAGATTGTCGGATTTTTTGGGTTTTCTGCCTTTTAATTTTTAAAAACATGCATGTATAATTTTATAAAAATCAGAGTATTTTAAAAGTTTCAATTTCAAGACACTAAAGATTTCATCTATAATGTCTTAAATTATTTTTAAATATTTTTTTTAGCTGTTGATGGACCTTTATTTGTTTATTTTTATGTGGTGCTGAGACCCGAACCCAGTACCTCACACATGCTCGGCAAGCACTCTACCACTGAGCCACAGCCCCAAACCCAATGTCTTAAAATTTTTAAGTAATTAAAAAGTAATTGGGCTGGGGATTTGGCTCAAGCGGTAGCGCGCTCGCCTCGCATGCGTGCGGCCCAGGTTCGATCCTCAGCACCACATACCAACAAAGATGTTGTGTCTGCCAAGAACTAAAAAATAAATATTAAAAATTCTCTCTCTATCTCTCTCTCCTCTCTCACTCTCTCTTTAAAAAAAAAAAAAAAGTAATTAACTAGGGCTTAAGTTGTGGTTCAGTGGTAGAGCACTTGCCTGGCACGTGTGAGGCACTGGGTTCAATCCTCAGCACTACATAAAAATAAAAAATAAAAATAAAATAAAGGTATTGTTTCAATCTACAACTAAAAAAAAAGGAAAAAATAAAGTAATTAACCAATATTCTAACCAAAGGAACTGGAGAATATATTTACAAAATAGGTTTGCTTTTTCATACTTTAGATATATATTTTGAGTGATTTCCAAATGACTTTTTTCTTTCCAAATTCAAAACAATAACAGTCTTATTCACTTATAACAATGGAATGGATTTTCACAATATTTAAAATACTTACACAGATTCTGCATCCTTTTCCTTTTTAATTATTCCTGGCAAAGCAAAAGTCTTTCTTTTCCTTGGTTTTATGCCTTTAAGATAAATGTATATTGTTATAGAAACACATCTGCTCCTAATAAATATATTAAACTTATGAAACACTTTTTTGTGTTTTCGACAGGATTTGTTTATAATTGTTGATGCTAAACGTGGATGGAAGAAATAAAAGTATTAACCTTTAAATTCTAGTATTTATCCTAGCATCTCAGGACCTGAATCTGAGGAAGGAGGATCGTTCAAAGCCAGCCTCAGCAACTTAGGATGGCCCTAAAAACTTGGTGAACCCTGTCCTGTCTCAATGAAATTCTCTTTCTTCTCCTAAGTGTCCCATAAGTCACCTCAAGCAAAATAAGCACATGGAGGTATCTGAAAATTTTAAAGAAAGTACAATACTCATTATATTAGATTTTGTTATAAAAGCAGGTCAGATCATGATCCTTGTCCAGAGGGTCACAAATTATAAATGTGTTGTTTTAAATAAAAAGATAATAGAGCTGAGGATGTGGCTGGGAATGATGCTTGCCTAGCATGTGAAGACCTTAGGTCCAACCCTGATACCATGAAAAATTTTAAAATTAAAATAAAAAAAGGCCAGCCAATCCATTAGAAGAGAGATATGAAATGTCAGTTAGTAAGGCATTCTTATGTCCATACGTTATCACTAATACTATAAAGGAATATCACTAATTTTATCTACCAGAACAAAAGAGAAAAAAATCATCTTTGTTCTTTCTACTATGTCAACTCCTCATCCCCTAGCTATATAAAACTTATTTTTAAGAGTCAGTTATGCTAGTAATTGTTGATGGAATTCGAGTGTACTGGCAAACAGTAACAAACCCTCAGTAACCTAAGTTAATTTCTCATTTCAGACTAAGAAATTCAAGAGTTTTGGTTTTGTTTTTTGACTCAGCCAGAACAAGAATACAAGTCCCACTTGCTATCATGCAAAACAAACCCTAAACATAACACATGATGATATGCTAAAAATCAACTTTTTTATTCTCATAGTATAGGTATTATATTTTATGATTTTCACTTTGCAATAAAAAGTTAAGGTTCAGAGAACTTAAAATACTGTTTTCCAATAGGTAGTGAGTGTTAGAAGGCTAGGTCCCAGGGCTACTGAGAACCCCAATAATAAACTTAGACACTATAACAAATAATTTTTCCAAACTCTTAGGTAAGGATTGGAAAAAACAGAATATTACTTTCAAATTATTTCTAGTAGCTCACATTCAGATTTTTATGTCACTCCACAGGCATGGTAATAGCTATGGCTAGCAGCTCCTCTTTGTTTACTAAACAGATGACACTAGCTGTTGCCATGTGAGTTAGCACATTATAAGACATCAACTTACCTTCAACTGCACTAGCAGGGTCACATTCTTCAAATTCAATGAGGCCTGGGGAGTAAAAAAAAGAATAACTAGTAGAAAATGATTATTGGATAAATTCCATTATAATACATCCTTGTTTTTTTACATTTTTAAATTTTAATGTAATTGACAAGACTGCTCTGTAATGTATTCCAGTGTTATTAAAATATAAGTTGATATTAATTAATACTAATTTAAATATCAGAAATAAGTCTTGTAAAACAAATAATCCTAACAGTGAAAAAACTCGAGAATAGCCTATTATGATCACAATAATTTACTGGATACTAGAGAACTGAAGATGAAGATTTAACAAATACTTTGTGCTTTCAAGGAGCTTTAGCAAAGGAAGAGAAAATAAAAATGATAAGAGGCAGCTGCTAAATCCTTGGCTATGCTCATGAGAAAAACAGGGGTACCAAGATGGTAAATACTACTAGAATGTAAGCTTGGGATCTCATCTGTCTTGGTCACCACTATATCCTCATTTCCTAGAACAATGCTTAGCAAATATAAAGACTTCAGTAAATATTTGTTAAATATATCAATTAATTAATCACATGCTAGTTAAGTGGTGGCTCTGGGATTATAACACACACACACACACACACACACACACACACACACACAGGTAAACTGGTCTTACATGAAAATTAATTTAATGCTAGTAAGAGGGATAGGCTATAGAAAGGAAGAAGATGGTAAAATAGCCATGAAATGAGAGAATTGCTGAGACTAGACTTAAATGTCATTAAATAAGATATATTTCATATATGGAAAATACTATTTAAATAGAAAAGCAGCAAAAGCATGATTTTTCCCATTGTAATATCCTAAAAGCTAAACATCAGTCTAAAAAACTTATCTCACTAAACTGACATATTAGCCCGGTTATACTATGTAAGTTTATGAAAGCCCAGAATTTTTGTAGAATAATTTTTAATTTATTAATGGTAACTGGTATAACCTGCAATGCCAACTTAAAAATAGAGACTACAGAAAAAATGACAAGAGGATCTGAAGAAAAAATGATAGACAATTTATTTAATGGTTCTTGTGAAATATTAAGCTTAACTATAACTATGCTAATTCATGATCAGAGAGAGGTCTTATTGATCATTCTATTATAAAGAATCACTGATCAACAAGAAATATTTCTCTACAACTAGGAGAATCTACAAATATTTAGCCAATAGACTAAGAGCTCATTTTAGAGAAGAGGATAAAGATAAAAATAAAAAACACCAATGCCAAACAATCTGCATTATTTACAAATTACATTTACTTTTACAACATCATCTCAGTTAATGTGGTATAAAAACATCTTTTTAAAGATCTCTGGGTGAATTTGTATATGTAAAAAGAGTAAATGTATCCTTTAACTATAAAACCAGTCTTCAAACAAAAGTCGACATTTCTTCCTCAAAAACCCTTTTCCTATGTAGACATATTTTGATTAATTTCCCCTTTGCTTCTAAAAAGCCTCTAAAATCTATTCAAAATAATAAAATATCCAATTAAAATATTCAAACTAAATATTTTTCAAATATAAAATGTCAAATCCTTTCAAGTTATAAAATTTTAAGTACCATCCATATAAACTTTTCTTTTAAAGGCAGAAATACCAAGTTTCTAATATAATAAAACTAAATACAATCTTCAAAAAAAAAAAACATTGAATCATGTACAGAAAGATTTTCTTTCTCAAATGCATATGCTCTACATGTTCCTTCACATGGCAAGGCTTTGCGTGCCTGGCTCAGTGCCAGTTGACAGCTCAGCTGGATATCAATGCACAGACTGACCCCCCTTGAAGCATGTCACTTCTGAACTATTTCACAAGTGGAAAGTTTATTCAGCATCTCTCTCAAATGCAGTGTACTGCCCATCATTCTGCTATTTAATCATAAGACTAGTTATTTTTTTGACAGTACTAAAGCCAGAGTAAGAGTCTTAATGAATAGTTCGATACAACTGGAATTTTGACTGTTTTAGACTCAATTAATTCTGTTGTCAATATTAATAACTGCTCTTAGCACTTAGATTTTATGCTGGGTCACAAGGGCAATTTAGTTTATATAAAAGTAAATAAAACCATTTTGGTTCTGTCTCTTGATGCTCTTATCACACATTATCCAAAAATGCCACTATGAGTTCAATTAAACTCAAAAGAAAAACTCTAAAAGGTCATCAATTTAAAGCAAAACAATTCTTAAATATGATGCTTTAATCAGCCGTTTAGAATAAATTATTGCTACAAAAAAAGCCATCAATCTAATAAATTCATCCAAGCCTAATTTGGATCAGGAAATACAAAAGGAAAAGCAACTTACTTAATATTAATGTTTAATCATCACAAATGTTCTATGGAATGAGACAAAGTATAAAATATGTGAAATACTGAATTAACAGTCTCCACTGCTTTGGAATCAATCCTATAACTCAAAGCCACCAATATGGAAAATTTGCAACTTCATCAAATTAAAAACTGGCCTCAAAACTTGATTTGAGTACCTAGGCTACTCAAATCAAGCACATTTCTGCATATTCCCAATAAAACCAAAGAACATCTGATTCTAATTAGAGCCAAGTTAAAACATAAACACGCTTAGACAGCTGGATGTGGTAGTGTACATCTATAAGTCCAGCTACTCAGGGGACTGAGGTAAGAGGATCACAAGTTGCAGCCTGGACAACTGACCAAGTTCCATTTACAAATTTTACAAAAGGGCTGAAGACACAGCTCAGTGGTAGAGGGCTTGCCTCACAATGCAGGAGGTCATGGGTTCAATTCCCAGTACTGCAAAACAAACAAGCAAATAAATGAAACATGTTCATACATACACTCAAAGTCTAATGAAGGGATGTGCCTGTGTAGGGTGAGGGGTTGACTAATAGCAATGGAAGTCAATGGGTACATTTTCAAGCTTGCTCCTATGCCCGAGGAATGTAACAAAGCCACACACCCAGATACCTGAGATGATGAACCAGGCAAGCTAACACATAAAACAGCATAAACTCCAGCTTGTGGTGACATATAAAGGTCATAGAGATTCAAGTTCTAGTTCTACCACTTGCTTGCCAGCTGATCGTCTTGGACTAGTTACTTTCTTTGAACCTGGGTTCTACATTTGTAAAAGGGGATAACAATAATACCTTTGTCCTGCATGTTTTCTCTAAGTATATCCATACATACAGGTTGTTTTATTTTTCCTTTTGCTAAATGGTTTCAAATTAAGGTACTGACATTAATGACACTTCCTTCAACCAATATCTTCTTTCCAGAGTCCTATGCATGCTAAGTACAAATTACCACTGAGCTACATCTCCAAACAGAGAGTTATGTTGAGGAATTCATAAAGACTTGTAAAAACAATTCCCTCCATCCAGTGGTTCCAAATCTCAACTGATCATCAGAAACTTCTAGTGCAACACTTCTAAGCTCTATCACGTACAGAATCTCATGAAGACTAATAAAATCACAAAACCTTGAGCCCCCACCCATAGTTATCCTATTTGGAAGGTCTGGAGTGCTGCTCTGGAATTTGCATTTTCATGGCCCTGGAATCACACTTTGAGAACTATGGTTTAAGTGGACCCTGGGGCTACTACTATATTTACCTTGGGGTCACATTTGCATTCAGTAAATCTATACAGTGCTCTTCCAATTATACTGTACACACAAATCACCTGGGGATCTTATTAAAATACATATTCTGATTCAATAAGTCTGAATTGGGTTTATAACATGCATCCAGGAGACTTAATGTTGCAGGTTCTCAAACTCTATGCATTAAGTCAGCTGAGGAGTTTTAAAACATAGTGGTTCCCACCCTACATAAATAAAATCAGAATTTCTGTGGCAATGCACAGAAATAACAAGCTAAGGAAAAAAATAATCTAGATACCCAAAGATGGAAAACTAGCAATGAGGCAAATTTGGAAATCAGTCTTATATCAAATAGATTTCAATTATTGCAAAATCTTCCAAATTTTCATCAAGTTCTCCAAACACAGAATCTTAGCATTGAAATATAACCTCCTCCAAGTACATTCACATTCTGACACTGTGCACATACCCCTAGATAGAGTCATATTTTTGCATCCCCTATGATCTTCCCTAGAACCTTGTTTGTACTTTTAATTACAGTTTTAATCCCAACTTTAATCCCCTTGTTTGTACTTTTAATTACAGTACTTTTAATCCCAACCTTTCTGTTATGCAGGCCAAAACTTCTAAAGGAATTCTCCCACCCTCTTTTAAACAGCTTTGCTGAGTTGTAATTAACACATAATAAACTATAAAAATGTATTTAAATTATAAAATATGGTAAATTTTGACATGTGTCACATTTGTGAGTCTACTGCCACAAATAATATAAACCACCACTTCATGCTTGCTCTTTTGTATCCCATTCTACCCATCCCAAGGCAACCACTGACCTGCATAATTATTCATCCATGTTCTTCCATGAATCAATAGTCCATTAATTTTTACTGTTGGGTAGTACCTTACACCACTATTTGCTTATCCATTCTTCTGTTAAAGGACATTCAGACCATTTCCTATTTGGGGCTATTATAAATAAAACTACAATGAACATTCATATATGTCTTTTCAGGATATGCATTTCCTCTTCTTTTAGGTAAATACCTAGTAGTAGAATGGCTGGATCATATGGTAGGTGTATGTTAAGATTTCTATGAACCTGTTGGGCTGTTTTCCAGAATGGTTATACCATTTTATATTTACTATTATCAGTGTTTATGAGTTCTAGTTCTTCCACATCTTTATGGACTTGATATGGTTGGTCAGTTTTTTTTTTTTAATAATCACGCTCTTAAAGTATGTAGTAATGTTAATATGGTTTTAATCTACATACCTCTAATAAATAATGAAGTTCAGAATCTTTTTATTTGCTTATTAGTTATTCATATATTTTCTTTGGTGAAGTGTCTAAAATTTTGGCTTTTTTTGCATTACAATTTACTTATTATTTTGAAACAAATGTAAAATGCATTATAAT